CCCAGCCCTTACCTCTTCGATTATGGTGGAATTTTTTGCGAAAAATCGTAAGAAGTGCGTTTTTCTTTACCTTGCTCTGTTTTAGTGCTTTCGCGTCGATTTTTTTCCAGCTTGGGCGATTATTGCTCAGAACAATAAGCACAACAATCCAGACAACGTCCCAGAAAACAGGAACGTCACTGTGGGGGTAAAAATTTAAAGGATGCATCAAAAATCAAAACCCCGTGTTGCGAATTGCTGGTCCTGGAGCGAAAACTTGCACTTCGAAGAGCCGCCAAATGAAAGATTTCAGACCTCTTTGCAGCGTTTTTATCCGGTTTTCAGCAGTTTCTTTCGCTTTTAATATCTGTTTTACGTCATATTCTCTTCTCTGATCTTCTCTAAACAACCTTCACTATTTATGACGTCAGATGTTTAAACAACCTTCACTTTTGACGCCCTGTCTCTAGACTATCGAAGGTATGCTGAGCGGCCTCCCCATGCATGCCATAGCCTTGATTGCGTGTGCAAAATACTGCTTCTGGGGCGAGAAAAAGCTCCAGAAGTATGAATAGACCCGACACTCACTTCGGTATCATCCTTATCAAATCAGGTTTTCACGTCGAGACACGCCGCTGAATGACAGCAAGGCCGTCTTCTGGCGCAATTTCCCTCTGCGGTAAGAACGACACCGAATTGAAAGGTGGTTTGCTTACCTCTGAAGTTTCCTCTCGCTCCAGAAGCAGCAATCTGCACTCGCATTCCGGCTATAGCTTGCATGGGGAACCCGCTTCGGCAATGATTGTGATAGATGTGTCTTGACGAGCTGAGCAAAACGCTTTCTCTGGGTTTCGGATCCATGCATTTCGAAGAAATACTGGCTCTGCGTAATCTGCATGAGTCGCATGGTTTCAGTGGAATGAAGCAGAATCAATGGAATGTCCTGCGACTGCCGGGATGTCGCGACATTCCTGGAAATTTTGCACATTATGTGAACGGTAATGTGTGGTCGAGAAGATAAAATAAAATGAAGTTGAAGTTTCTCCGGAAGTTTGATCCCTTGTTCTGTGTTCTCTTCCTCATGCGTACTGTCCCCATTTCATTAACACATTTGCTTTGCTAATTTCCAGTCTGATCTTTTCCGAATTCCTTTTTGATTGCGGTGTGTACCTTTATGTTCCAATTTACTTACGGGGAGAGGATACTTGGTGGCCATAGCCTTCCGATTTGCGACATATGACATGACATTCGCCTTAAGACGCTGATTTCAAAATCGTAATCGTTATCTGCAGAACGGTATTCCGGAAAAACCGTATTTCGCCTCGTCTGATGTGCTTCTACAAGAATACGAGTATTTTCGATCTCTCGAATGGTGGTGATTAGCGCTGTCGTTTATTGTACAACTAGCTGGCTTGCCCGGCTCCGCTCGGCCCTGTCAAAACAGTATGACAAAGCTCTCATCCGTATCCCTGTACAATCTTTCCCTCTTTCCCTATGCCAACGTCTACATGCCATTTTCCTATTCCCGCTGTTTTAGTAATCAGCATGCTCGATTACCCCCCCCCCCTATGCTAAATCCCAGCCCCGTAGGTGAACTCTGCAAAAAAATCGATAAAAACCAATAAAATCGATATGGATCGATGACGAAAAGTAGCCTATGACACCCGCCTCGCCCAGAAGTGTATGTGTACCAAGTTTGGTTCGGATCGGTTGAGAAATAAAATTTTCTATTCGGAACATACGTGCAGACACACAGACACAAACACACACAAACAGACATTCAGCTTTATATATAAGATGGATACCCGTTTGATCTCGGTCGGTGCAAATGTTTTTCTTTAGTGTTTTTACAAGCGCTGATTCTTCTCGGACTATCTTCGTTAGCTTGCTTTCTGCAGCTAACGAAGATAGTCTTGAGATCAGAGTTTCAAGGCGAGTATTTTGATGTATAACATATTCCAAAAGGCCACGGCCACCAGTTATCGTTCCCTTGTTGGAAACGCTTACGTCAGCGTGTTTTTCGCCACACAAAGATCTTTCATGGTCCTCGTCGGCGATACTTTCGATCACCATCCAAGCAGTTGCCCGGATCATTTACAAAAAAGCGTTTCACTTTTACTGCTTCTTCCAAGAAAGAGAGGCACAAAAAATGTTGAAAAAGACAAAGACATAGTTAAAAGACGATGACCTTCCACGCGTACAAATAAAAACCTAGCAAAGATTGGGCCATAAGAGTTGGCGTTCAATACCCACTTCGAGCATGGAACGCATTCTGGCCAAGCTACTGAATCCGTTCGAACTTTAACAACGGCTACATTTAATATCTGGAGAGTAGAGTTATTACTTAGCCCAGAGGTGAGAATCAAACTCTGATTACATGAGTCACGGCAGTGCCTCATATCACTGCGCCAGTCTTTCTTCCCCTCCCTACCCTTTATCACTACTAATTGATGTCAGCACCTCTACGTAATCCGATCCCGCTTGCATAAAATTCGCTATTCTCGGAACGCTTTCAACTTTTCAATCTTCTTTTCATGGAGAAAGGAGGGAACTGGTCAGCGACGATGTAAAAACCCAGGGAAACGTCCATTATTTCCTGGCGAGGTGGCAGTTAGATAGCTACGTTCCAGGATGTACTAAAATTGCAATGGACAAGAGTATTAGAGCGAGCCAAAAGTAATGGGACACCTTAATTTATTTTTCAATAATTTTTAAGGTTCCTTTTTGATTAACTATGAACAACCACAATTTGAACGCTTTTTTATAGTTGAACTTTGCAGGATATTTTAACAGCGTCTACCTCATCCACAGTCCGATGAGCGGCGCTTCAAAAATGTCAGACAGACTTTTTTGAAGCGCCGCTCATAGGACTGTGGATGAGGAATCTGTGCTGCTGTACCAAGTCCTTTCGAAAATTTGACATATCAATCAAAGGAGTTTTGTAAGCTCTTTCTAGTGATTTCTTGAACGTACAAAAAATCCTCATTATTTCTTATAAAAGAGGCGCTCTATTTGAAAAAGTGCGATGTTTGGCGCAGATTTTCAAGCCAAAAATCATTTTTCGGCCCACACTTTATTAACAAGAGAAGTCGAGGTAAATTGCATATGTACGGATAGAGCGTAAAAGACTCTATCAAATAACATCTTTTAAGGGTGAGCTCATTTCATCACCTTGAAAAGAGAATAAATGATGTCTCCTGATACCCAATGCCATATGTTCTGCTTTAAAGCCTTGGGACCACCAGGCTATTGTGGATTTAGTGACAGTCACTTCACCCATTGCAGCGCAGATATGTTTGGTAGGCTCATTTGTATTGCTGCGACGGTGCTGCTCAAATTTTGAAGTCACCTGAAGTGATGAGCATTGGTTTTAAGCGCTCATAAAAATAATGCCATGTGACAGTGCCCATCTATAGACCTTAATCAGAAGGTCTTGCTATGTGCTACCAAAACTTGGACTTCCAATCAGGTTTTCTGTTTGAGAAATTACATTTGTTCTCCGGGTGCCTATTACTTTCGATTCAGCCTCAATAAAAGCAGAATAATTGTTGATAACAGATGTAAACAGGGCTCGGCACGAGGTGGCTTACAAGCAAGCTGGATATCGTTTTTGGGACGAAAAGCAAAGGGGGTTTCGTTTTTGTGACCGAAGAGACATGGAAAATTGGCGAAGGCGACCTTTTTTTTTAGTCGACGTTTCGTTTTTTGGGGGATTTTGAGGAATTTTTCAGGTTTTCAGAGGAAATTTGGTTGAGGGCCAAAGGGGACTTCGTAAAAATTCCCAAAAGTCAAGGGGGACTTCGTTTTTTCCATTTTCATCTAGCCACCTCGTGCCGAGCCCTGGATGTAAAACCACCCCCTTTTAAAGCATTTTTACGCTTATGCAAAGAAGCGAAGTTCATATCGTTGTTCAAATCTTAGAACGTAGCTTCGACCATGTTGGCCATAGGAGATTGCTGGGGTACAGTATATACTGCTCCCGACGATCATCTAGCAAATTTGGCTGTTCTGCGCGACATTTACGGGCACATTAGAATGAGCTGACGAAGCACAGTGATAGTAAACCTTAGCCTAGGCTTAGGCTCAGGCCTAGGCTTAAGCTTAGGCCTGGACTTAGACTTAGGCTTAGGCTAATAGTTTTTCATGCAGTTTGGTGTACTGGTTTCATCTTCATGCATCCTCCAATCGTGTAACTTGATATGTGTGTCTACAGACTATGCGCGCAGTCGACATCTACTTTATAGTATTCTTAGTGAAACCTATTCCAGCGTAATATTCAGTAGAAATGTGTACTACTCTAGACAAGGAAACAAGGAGAAGTCAGTAGAAATGAGCAAGTTCCAATTTTTAAGCTCGTCAAGTAGCGCGCATAAAGTGCAATACGACTCGACGATAGGTATCCTACAGCAACGAAATTTCAAGATGCTCACGTAAACCCTACATGTTCTTTTACGATATTGTGAAATGAATTCTGAAGCCCCATGGAAACCAACAACTTGAATGGTGATAAAAAATCCTACCTACTCCACTTTAAAAAAATTTCCTGCTCTCCGCATTTCCTTCGCACCGTTTTTAATGTCTTTTCGAAAATGCAGGTGAAATACAAGATCCTTTTGTGAGTTAGCAAGCGCAGCTAGATGGCGAAGGTGCTCCGACCCCTGGAAGGCGCCTGCGGCAGCGGCGGCAGCGCTGCGCTGCACATCCGCTTACGCGGTCGTCCGTGTTCGCCTCGTAACACTTGCATAATATCGCGTTGACCCCAATCCGGCTTCAGCGGCCCGTACACGCTGGCCATCGCCGACGAAGCCGACGACGGCGTACTCTAATGGTTGGGGATGAGGGCTGTGAACGCGGCGGCGGGCGGTGAAAGGGGGTGAGAGTGAAATCGGGGGAAATGGGTCAGGTCGCCGGCGATTTCGTTCGTACCGGTGCGGCTCAGGGTGAGCGTTGTGTGTGAGCGTGTGGCCCACTCACTTTCGACGACGACGACCGGCGACGACCGGGCGCCACTCGCTTTCGAAATGGAACCCCTCAATGTTCAGCCACAGGTAGCGTGTCCGTGTATGTCCCTATGCAAACTTCGTTCAGTCCTTTGCGTGTGTTGTGTATGTTGAAAATCCATGTCACTTTTGCCAAACATCGAAAAACCGAAGCGCAAGAACAAAAACGCATCCGCGCATGTCTGACGCATTCCGTTCTCGGGGAAGAGAACTTCTGAACAACAGAATAATTTCCTAAACAAAATTCCAGGTCTCGCAGTTGAATATTCGATTCCTTAACATTTGAATTCTGCAAATTCACTTACCTGCTGCAGCTCTTTCACTTTTCGGACATTCATACTCTTACAGTAGCAACACATTCCGTTGTAATATTGACTTCTGACCATTTGACGTGCACTTTTCCCAAAAGAGGTGTCACTATAGTGTTTTAATCAGCGGCCATTTGTAATCGTCAGTCAACATCAGTTATGTGGATTAGATTTCTCAGCCAATTTTTTAACATCCCCGCATCGAAGTTTTAACAAAATTGAACTCAATGGGTATACCTGTCTCACTAAAGAAATTTCTGCAAATTGGCATTCATTGGAAATCCTGCAGCGCGCAAAAACGGAAAGTTGCGGTTGACAATCGCAAGTAGCAATTTCCAACAGTATATAAAACGAATAATGATCTTCTGCACACTTCCTGCCACCCTGATCTAGATTATTTTTTGGAGCTCGTCTGTTATTCAATAGTCACTTTTTATCTTCAAGACCAGATAGAATTTCTTGAAATTTTCCTTCCGATCCTCAACTCATCTGTTCGTAACTCCGTCTTTGAAACATCCAATCATTCAATGTGTGTCAATGCCTTCAATATGACTTTCTCAAGTAGTGTGTACTCGAATTTTTTATATATGAAAATCATTTTGATGGGTCAAATTTTTTGGAATGCATTTTTAAAGAGCTGTTCCCATCCTATCCCATGACCCAGGAATCCAGGTGTTCTTTTCAAGTAAAAGTTTCTTCTCACCGGTGCTCATCACCTCAAAAATTGTTTTACTACTCTTTTGATCAGTAGCTATGGCACACATAAATCTTCTTGCCCTGACACCCCCTTAGGAGCATTTTTCTCTATCTACGTTTCTGAAATTAGTTTACCAAAGCAGATAGGATTTCATACTCTTTATTGTGCAGAAATCCTCGGATCGATCATAATCGCACTCCCTTTCATTCACTCTTTTATTTTCATATCCTAAATTTGTAACCACAGGAAACTGCAAAAATTGGATCGTAACTTGCTTCAACATATGTAACTACATAAATCCCACCAAGCAATGGTCCACGGGGATTTATTCTAAGCAATCTTTTGAAGTATACAACGACAAGTATAGATGAAAAAAAAACTGCTTGTTATACCATTGTGTGTTATCATCTTTTGCTTCACGATACATATTACTCCTCTTCAGACTCTTCCACTCGATCTATCAGCATACGGCTTCACACCGCCGCTGCTGTCTCTACCCGTAATACATCCGGCGTTGTTGTCATCTATCGTCGATATGCAGAATGCAAATTCCAAATATCTTGTAAGTTAAAATTTGGAAATTTGAGTAACCTCTGGAGTTCTGATAACAACCTATACACTGTGCTTGCTCCGAATTTTCACCTCCTGCCCTGCTCCTTATGTCCCCTCTCGCTACCGTAAACTGACGTGCGTCGGCTGAGATTTCACTTTGCGTTTCATGCTTTGTCGGTTTTTCTTGCTGCGCCGTTTTTGAACAATCATGTTCTCGTCCGTTGTCGTCGCTTTCGTTCGTAGATGAGCGCGCATTTCGATTTCGGACGACGTCGACGACACTTTCACCTCTCTGCCTCCAACGAAATCCAGGTCAAATTCGTCGTCACTAACAAGCGAACGCTTCACTTTAGAATGAAATTGCTTTCGGTTACGAAGTGAAAGTTCTTGCGGGAAAGGGAAGGGATTCCACAATGCATAGTTTTTATTCGTTTGAGGGGGGGGGGGAGAGATTAGAATTATTTTTTGTGTTTTCAAACCTACATTTCAGATTTATCAAGTTTCATCAGGCACTTTTAGATTCATTATTTTCAAATAAGCTCCTAAAATGCCAGTTTATGATCTCTCTACGATCTTCCAGTTCAATTTTAAAATCGTGCTGAGCAACAAAACTGTAGATGTTTTGATATAATAAGATTTTCTCGTTCAAAATTTTGCTTATTTCCTCATTGTAGAAAGTTTGCAGTGTGGCCGTGCATGAAAGAAAAGAATCCATCCCTTTCCTATCTAGCCAAGACTTCTAAAGTTACTTGCGATGGTTAAGATGCGATGATTAACTAAGCCTTTTTTTCTCCATGCTATCTTCAAACCGTAGCGGTCTCATGATTTCCATCCGGGGAAGGGGAGGGGCAAGAATTTTTTTTCAAATGCACTCCGAAAGTTCCATATACGATTCTCGGTGAATCTTGGCATAGTAACAGTATCCTTTATGAAATGTTATACCAATCTTGGTGAAGGCTTAGACATTTCATAAAGAAGACCGAAAAAATTTTTGGGTCTCAAAACTTTTGCGGGCCTATGACCCCTAAAATCTAGAAAGAGAAGGTGTGGCGGCAGCTACGCTTCCGTGAAAAGATTTCTTACAAAGCTAATCTAAATTAATAAAAAATTATTTTAATTATTTATAAACAAGTCACTGCACAATTTCATAACCCATGTAAGTAAATTTCAAAAATTTCGCAACCCATTCTCTAGACCCTGCTCCCTCTCCCCTCTCGGTCCGCCAATGGTATCCCCGAAAGTGTATGATTTTATAAGTTTTGGTCTGAAACTTGAGTCATTTAAATGAAATTTGCAAAGAGATTTTCTCCATGTTATGGTTTCTGAAATGAAAATTACGATGTTGCAGTCAATTGACCCTGGTGAATCCGGAAAATTCAATCAACCTGAAAGTAACAATAACGAAACTGCACCTCCACAGGTAAGAAAAATATGTTGTAAACATAATTTTATATCCCTATTTGTCGCCACAAGGATATTGACCATTAGATCAGACCAAAATCGTAAAGAACATTCTCCGCGTGCTTGCATGGGCTGTAGCGGTTGCGAACCGCAGTCTTTTTCTAGTGCATTAAATTACGTTTGGCATGCTCTTTATACCGTTTTTGGCAAATGACAGGTCAGAAATGGAGAGTTTCTGGGTCACGCAGCGAAAAACCTGTGCACGTAATTACAATGTTATCGTAATCCAGCATCATGCCCCTCAGCGCGGTTCGTGACTGGCACAGTAAGCTCGCGCCAGTTAGTTGCGCTCGAGATCACTGCCGAAATTGTGGTGGAAAGTGAAAAAGGGTGTAGTTCCTGATTTTAGCCATTTTTGACAGTTTATCAGATTTTTTGGTTTTTCATGGGCTAAAGTATGTTCTTTGGAACGATCGTAGAAAAATTTACAGCTATTTTGTTCAAATAGTCAGCTATTTCTAGTTTGGGACAATCAATGCAGTTAATGATTGAAAAAAACATCTATTTTTCCTAAATATACATTTTAGGTGTCTTCATCGCGTTCGGATAGCGATTCTACTGTATCACCAGCGGCACCGCGTCACAATGTTATTGTAAAGAATCATTCCAAGAGGAAAAAAGTTCGTGAACATAGCAAATTTTTTTGAAAAAATGAAATGAAATTATTCGCATGGATCTTCACAGGGCGGTGTCGGTCTGCACAGAGAGAGGGTCGTAGTCAGTGTGTCAGCAAAAGATGCGCTGCAGTAACGATGTTTTTGCTATAATTTTCTAGCTTTTCTAGTGAAAATCGCTTTCCGTTTGCTTTGAATGATTTGAGAAATTTCTAAATTACAAAATTACAAAAAGGTACCTGTGATTTTCTTGCTCAGGAACTCGTTAAAGACAGTGCGTATTGGGAACGGCGACGGAAGAATAACGATGCAGCGAAAAAAAGCCGAGACAGTCGACGGCAGAAAGTTTGTGATTTCTAAGAGATTATCGAAATTTCTTCCAGCTTGCTAAACCGCGCTTTTTTGAGTAGAGTTTCAAATTAAATCCCTCTAAAATTCTAGCAATTTTTCAAACAAGTATGCGAACTTGCAAGTATAAATTCATGTTTCGTTGAGGAAGACGACATGGCCTGTCGAGCAGCGACTCTCGAGCAGGAGAACATTAAGCTGAGAGCAGAGCTGGAGCAGTTGAAGAACGAGACAGGACACCTGCGAGCACTCATGCTACATGCGCCGGTGAAGGTAGGATTAGGTTGTACGGGAGTGGTTGTGGTATTCATTTTATGAGTGTTCCGAGAAAAACTGCGCTTTGCTGGCACAAGTCCTTATTAGTAAAAATTCGTAATATGAATTTTATATAATCTCGTCTTAAAGCCAAAGCTCGGCACACCTGGCACCGGGTCAAGCTATATATCGCTCCTAGAGAGGGGAGGGTAAAGGGAAATCCATTTTGGTCCGAGGTCTCGAGCCCTGCAAAAAACCTAACAATAAGAATTAGAGAAATGTATTGAAATCGAGCCCCACCTCAAACTGTCCGTCCACAACTTGTTTGAAGATGTCTAGAAACCATTACTTACAAGCTCTAACACTATCTCGAACGGCGCGGGAATTCAAAATTGTGCCCCAGTCAAACATTTGCTTTTTCTAAGAAATACGCAATGATATGACACTAAACTTGGCGTGCACATGCGCGTGAGGAAGCTCGAACTATGGCACAAAAATTATGAAAATTTATGTAAATAAAAGCCGTGGAACTCTTTCTCAGATTAGCTCACAACTATCCCAGCTGGATACCAGTTAAGCTGGATCTAATCCTTTGCTTAGGGAATTTTCATATTTCGTAGTTTTCATCCGAAATCAAAAGTTCTCTTGCTAGCACAAAACGTTTCATACTCCTTCCTCTGCGCTTTTTTGTAACCTTTAGGAAATTTTCATTGATGGCAAAATTTCGCTCCGATCATAAGGCGCTCCCAACCAACGCGCGAATGTTTCATTTTTACTAGTCTTCGGTGTGCAATATGCTTGCCTTTTCATGATAAGAAAAAGTTTCGCTTGTTTACCCCTCGCTTTAGAGTTGAGAGGCAGTCTAAATACGAAGAACAAAGTAAAGGATGGTGAGGATTTCAAAAGGTCAAAGCAGACTTCGTAAAATTTTGCAAAGTTAAGAAGGGTTTAGTTTCAAAATTTCCTTGGCTCCAGCCCATGACGAGCCCTTTACCTACCTAAAATTTCATCAGAAGGCACATGTACGTAATGACGCATGAACCATTGTCTAAAGTTAGGCGAAAATTATAGACAAGCTGCGCATTACAGAGAACTCTGAACCTAGATAAATATTTTATAGTAAAACCTCTTGTGGTATGAATCGCTAAACTCATCGGTAGAAATTCTTATCTATTCAACAACAAGCTCCAAATGCATAAGTCCAAAACTCTTTCGAAGGTTCCGCTCTCGCTACATCACCCGATTGGCTCAACATCGCTGCATACAAATATCTCGATGATTGCTGCTCCGTCCGTGATTACGACCACGGACTTCTGTGGGAGTCTTCCACATCTTCCATTCAGCACTGGACCACCAAGAAATACAGTACTAGTGAACAATTTGAAGACTTAAACTTTTGTTTTGTTTACTTCTCTTCTAAGCTAATCCTCCATTTATTGTGGTTCACAACCGACATTTCCGGGTAGTGCGCTATCAAATAATGTTCACATGTATGACCTCTTTTGTTTTCGACAACTCTTACGAGGGTGACAGTTACGCGCTTTCATTTCTTATCATTCTGTTTCAATACTTCACCAATCTTAATTGAGAAATAACTTTTTTTGTAATTCTCGTAATAGCATCATGTACTTACAACGTAGACGTGTACGCTTTATTAATGGCAATATTTGTTGTGTATATCTCTTTCTATTTCATATACATGTGGTTCACTTATCAATTGTGCAGGCTTGAGTTCAAGTTCATTCGAATTTCTCATTGAAAGTGCTTGAACTCTGTCTTCTGTACTTACTACTCGTATAAATCATACATACTGTTTAATCAAGATAAACAATGTTGTTGGAATCGAGACAGTATATATAGGCTGCTGCATGACGGAGGCACAATACCTTTTGATTCAACTGGCTTGGCGGCTGGAAGGCGGGGCTTCAAGACCTAATTGAGGCTAGGTAATGATCAGAAAGCACGCGCGAGGAAGAGACGCAGACTGCGTCGCGGGCGAGCGGCCTTAATGAGATCACAAAGTTCCGCCTTCCAGCCGCCTAGCCTGATGAATCAATGGTTATCTTTGGGTGCGCGGCTTCTTTAGCCGCAGAGCGCATGAGGCGCAGAATTTACAACGGTGAAAATACGCGCGCCCAAGTTCGCGCCCGCTCAGCTTATACCGCTTCTGCGCCTTCGTCACGCAGTAGCCTTTAGCATACATCACAAGTGCTTCTTGAGTAATTAAAGCAGTACAACAACCCGTAGAATGAAAGAGTGTAAATTTGATTAATGCTTCATCCTTTGATTCTCGCGTACATCCACTCCAAAGTACGCTTCAGTCCTTCGCCATAGAGCCCACTGGTTAATTGCAGGCGCCACTAAATATTTTCATAGAAAGCCATATATCCTTCTGTCTGTATGCCCTCCTCTTTTCCGAACGAAAATTTTATTTTTGAATTCCTGACCGATTTGCACACATATTAGGTTGTCCCGAAAGTTTTGTCGGTTTTTTTTTCAAACTGCTGTAAAACCACGCACAATGAAGACCTGGACGAGTTTCAACATGCATTTGATGCAGCTTTTCCTTCTCTTTCTTATGGATATATTCTCAAACCATAATCTTGTACGCTTTTTTTTGATAATTGCAAAGATTCTCCACCCGTCAATTTTATCTGCTCAAAGTTAGGCTAATTTTTGGAAATTTCTTTCCAAAGTTTTGGGAGAGCTCAAGTATGGAACAAATAGAGCAATTCCCGGACTACAAGATAATATTTTTATAGAGGTCTCGATTTTTGGCCAAGTCATGAAAACACGCAACTGCAGCAAATACACGAAAATTTTTGAAATTTGTGAATTGAAACCTAGTTCTGATTAAGTATTATTTATGCAACATAGCCAAAATTAATTTGCTTTGAAAAAGCAGCTTTTTGGAATTTTCGGTACTTTTTCGCGGTAAACGTAATCAAAAAGCCGCAGTTTTTATTTAACAAATAATTATAACGGACTTGGTAAACGTGGCCCCCATGCATCTAAAATGGGTACAATATAGCCAGATTTGCTCTACATAATAGTTACTAGGGCTCTTTGAAAACTCCAAGATAAAAATTTTCAAAATTCAGGAAATATCTGGCGTTACTGTTAAGCGGCTCAGAAAGCCATGGCGACATTGCAAAGACAGGAAAGATCAGAGAGCAAGTAGAGCTTAAGAAAGAGGATAAAAATATGGACCAAATGGTACCTAGATCGCCCATGGATTGGTGTTCTGCAGGTTGTTTTAGTGGTCGAGGAAAAAAACCGACAAAACTTTTGGGACAACCTAATATAATTCGCGGGAGGGTGTTGAATTATTCGAACTCGAATAATCGCACTTTGATACTTTTCAAGAATTCGACTATCGAATAATCGAATATTCTGACATGACCGAATATTCGATTATTCGGGTCGAATAAATGCTTTTTTCGAATATGCGACTATTCGAATATTCGATTAGTCGAATATTTGGAAATAAATAACATTTAAAATTAATAAATAAATATAAATAAATTATTCGAATAAATTATTCGAACTCGAATATTCGGTTCTAACTATAGCATAGGCCGAGGTGCGATGGGGGAGACGGGAGCTCCTACAAAAACAATTGCCGGGGGCAGGCGGTCCCCAAACTCGCGCTTTCTTGCAGGAGGTCAGCAGAATTTTGGAGCGTGGCCAATTTCAGCCAGCGGTAGTTCCTTTTCTGTCGCATGTTCTGACAGCGGGCAGCAATGCAGAATTTTCTGCGGCGGTCGTCAAATAATTTCCATCAGCGAGCGCTGTCCAAATACTCAGCGAGCACTCTGACTCTCGTTGAAGGCAGCGTCTACCCGAAATCTATTCACTCAATACTACTCATCCTATTAGCAGACTCTAAAAGTAGACACCGCGTTGGTTCGGTTCCCTAATGTTGCCTACAAAAGGAAATAACGGATCTCATCCTCTTTGCACTCCTCCCCCTTTTTTGCGCTCCACCCACCCACGGATTGCACTCTGACGTGTTCTGACATGACAAGCACCGTCGAAATGCATGGTTTGTTTTGTGGCACTGTTGCACACGACGAGTTTCCTGTTGCATACGATGTGACTAGCGCAGGGGCACCTCGTCCACGTCTGCCAAAATAGGGCTTCAGAAATGGGCAATTTTGGAGCTTTCTGGTGATTTGAACCTCACATCCGAATTCCGCGTCAATCCCATGCTTGACCCTGATTATGAAAATCATAAAGTATGCTCACCTCTCTGTCCTTTATGTTACGGAGTTTCAATTCCTGTGCAATCTCGTCTGCGTTCAAAGAACCAATCAAATCTTGCTTGTTGGCCAAGATTAGTAAAGAGATGCCTACGACAACCGAGTTTTTGAAATAAAGTATTTATCCAAAGAAAAGTGTCACAAACACCTTTCAAATCGGGCACCTGCAGAAGATCGGATAATTCTTGCATTGCTTCTCGTAATCCCTTGATATCCGAGCTGTCTACGACAAAGATCGTCAACTGCAATGAAATAGAGTTAATATATTAACTCTTCCTACAGCATGCTCACTCTGATTGAAACACCGGATATGTGAGCGAATAGCCGGAAACACCGAATGCCCAGATTCAAGCACAGTCTGGTTGCGGTGTGGATTCACCTGCTTGGAGGGTGTCAAAGTCAAAAAAAACTCTCCAGCTAGGGGCTTTCCTTTCACTTAGCACATGTGATGGACAAGAACAACGATGTGAGAGGAAATTTCAGAAGGAGAGAACAGCCTGGGCCGTCTTAGGCCCTTAGCAAGGTATAAGCTGCTACATGACGAAGGCGCAATAACTCTGGGCCCGAACGCGGCTTTATTAGCCGCAGAGCGCATGAGGCTTTACAACGGTGAGGATACGCGCGTCGCGTTCGCGTCCGCTCAACTGAAACTGCTTCTGCGTCTTCGTCATGCAGTAGTCTTTACAAACCAAGTGATGACGTAGCGTATCAAGTATATGTTTCAAATCATTTGCTCTCCCCATGCCCTGTTATGCAGACAAGGAGCAGGCTGGCCTGGCTACTTCGAAAGCTCTTTAATTCATATACAAAGCGTTCCAACGGAGTCTCTTGCAACACAACCGACGCATCAATACCTGATATCTGTAGTTCGAACTCTGGAAAAAGTCTCCCTTTTGCGGAAGGACATTCGTTGATAAGTGTTTACCATGCCTTTCTTCACTACTTTTTATTGTACGTCACACGCCACTCAATGACAGTATCAAATTCCTTCGAGTTCTTCTACAATAATCAATTTCCTGTTAAGTGATAAAGGCGTTTATCAGAAGTTCATACTTATTCAACACTTCAGCACAGAGAACACTTTCGTCCAGTTCAATATTGGGATACACAATGAAGACGGTTGGCGCTGGATTGATTTACGTCTTGATATTCGTAAACACCGATGCTTATGGACAAACTACAGGAACTTCCACACCGCCTACGCTGCTACCGTAGCCTCACTGTGATACTACACGTGACGCTCAGCCGGTGGTGTCAGTGGTGTCTCCTTGTCTCTGTGCCCGATAACACCATACTTGTACTTGTTCGCTACATTGAATCTTCGATGTATTAAGCACCCGCCATACTTGATCCGCTTAATCCACCTGATCCGCTTGATCCGCCTCATCATTGGTCAATTCAGTGAACTGACCAATAGTAAAGTGGATGAAATGGATCAAGTGGATTAAGCGGACAACCGCTTCGCTATTGCTCAATTCACTGAGTCAACCAATGACGAAGCGGATCAAGCGGACCAAGTGGATTAAGCGGATCAAGTATGGCGGGTGCCTTAGGTTGATTCATAATTAATGCACGTTTTCTATACTTCAGTTTTATCTTTATCTTTATCTGATACGCTCGAGGCGTGCTGACAAAACAACAGAACAAAAAACCATGAACACATGTGTCAGGCTACTCAAGAACGAAAAGAGGTAGAGAAAAAAGAAAGAAAAGAAAACAAAAAAAGAAGCGCAGTAAAACAATGACATGACTGTACGGCAGCCTAGGTCCAGTAATTTATCAATAAGCAATGCAACGAACCACTAAAAACGAGCCTGAATGGCATGTTAACTCTCAAATTTTCAACCTAGATAATTTTTTTGAAAGGACATTTTTGGGCGCAAATAAAAACTACTGTAACCAACAAATCAGTGGCTATAAAACAGATGCTTTTGCGTGACTGTATCTATCACAAGAAAGATTTTCTGGCCTTGCCAACAAGTTTTTTCAGGAGCCTCCAATTTTAGAGAGCATAACTTATATTGAAATGAAGTAGGATAAAGCAGTCTTCGCTCTACGTGTAGCCAAGGGTCCCTTGAGCAGTAATGCCAAGTTTGGATTTAACGGAAAATTTTTGAAAGAAAATACCGCGAAAAAGTCGAAAGTACTCACTTTTTTCTGGCATCTCGGCGGATTCAAAAATCGGTCATTTTTGAGATTATTTTATTTTTCTCCGCTGGAAAGTGAGAAAACCCTAGCGCTTTTCTACCATCAGATGAACTAGGTCTACCCTTGCTGGATAGTGCAAAAGACCTGCAATGGCCGCGACGATCATTCAAGTTCGCATTTGAATTTCTCGGCTCAGAATTCATGGAGAATTTCGTTCAAACAGCATCTTGTAGCACAAAGTTTCGTAATCCTTACTCATGTTTTTTTTTTATAATTAATCCGGCTATCCCTCATGGATTTAGGGCAAAAAGAGTGAAAAGCAAAAATTTTGGAAGAACTTCGGAATGAACGGAGATTTACGAAAGCGAAGGGCCGCGTAAGAAACTAGAAAAAACGCTTTTTTAGATATCATAAAAGTTTTCTGAGGAAATTGATTACGCGTCAAATAGCAGCACCTGGAAGAAGAGGTGAAAAAAAACGTGCATTAATTATGATTCAACCTAATATATGTTTAACACGTTGACGACCGAGCCATTTTTGACCACCTCAAAATGGACTGATGATCTACGCCTGCGGTTTGGACTGTTTAACAGCTACCACAATGCCGTGTGTTCTATATGACAACCAGGCCACCAGTGTTATTACTGCATAGAAGTTACCTGAGAAATTTTCGTTTACACATGATAAATTGATGCACGAAAGTGCTACAAGGTGGTCAGGGCGTGCATACGCGCGGATACACACGGTCGTCAACGTGTTAAAGCGAGAGAAGTACATTGCAAGTACAAATTTATTGTCCGTCTCGTTTCGGCCTAGATCGCAATCCAACCCTTTTTCCCATTAGCGCTTCCGCTGCCGCTCTTCCAAAATTAATAGAGCCCTTCAACATTTCACAGTATTCAATTACTAGCAATAGCTTGTTGGGCTCAAAAGTCCTAGCAAAAGACGGCAGGAGCTTATCTGTTGGAGGCGACTTTGAATCGGCTCAAGATCGTAACAAACAGAATGATTGTCAAGATAAGTAGCGCATGAAACAACCATTTGACAATCGGTTTTTTGATTCTGAACATACCGCAACCCTATCATATAACGCTAGCAATCAAACCTGTCACTTTTGAACATCAATCCTCCCACGCAAGTTTTTGGACACATTCTGAATTTTTTAGATCAGTTTACTTTGACAATGCAGAACATGAACTGGTTTGTGTGTCAGGACGCAGTCAACTAGGTGCTAAGGATGGAGGTCGGTCCGGAGAGTCAAACTCTAGGGTAGGGGGATGAAAGCTGCCAGTTGAACCGCCTCCGCGGACTACCGCTCCTGGAACGGCGTGCAACGACATTGCAAAAGGGACCATTGGTCGCGAAAGGCGGCTCAAACCGGCGACCTTCGTTTCCCACCTAACCTCTAGCACTGACCCTCACCCGCTGGCAGGACTCCGTTCCCTCTTTCACTTTTCCCCTTCTTTTTGGATTTAAATTTTGTAAATGTGCAATGGTCATGGAACGGCATGCACTGTCGTTGCATGCCGTTCCAGGACCAGAGAAGGACTAATGTGAACTCCGCTACACATCAGGTAAAGACGTCATAAACCTTTATCTTAACGAGCGGCAAATTAAGGAAAACCATATGGCCGCGAGTACTTTACAGTTCAAACCAAGGGAGTCTGGCTCCACATCAGGAGTTACGCAGCCGCTTTGCCGCCACGTCGAGAGCTCAAATTTTGTGCCCCACAAAACTCTCTGGTGACAGACGGGCATGGGCTAGTGTATTCCAAGACGTACGATAGGGTACTCGCCCCCACCGCTTCCCCCCCCCCCCCCTCACCCCTCCTCCTTTTGCTCCAAAAAGGACAAAAGGACACGCGCGGCATATTGACCTTCAGCAGTACAGTATGCTTATTTCCATGTATCCTTCATCTTGGCATACACCCTCCCTCTTTCTGACTGCCCCGTTTTACTAGGTTTTTGGGCTTTTAGGGCCACGAAAATTTTGAGCACCAGCAGTACTCGAAGAGCATGGCTATTACCAAGTCCATTTATTCCAAAAAATCTGTGCCACTTTTCTTCACCCCTTCCCTAGATAGATTTCTCATATCTCCGCTGCTCCGCAAATTTGCTTTTGCAAAAATGAACAGAAGAACTGACATTCCTACCTTAACACTAGAATAATAGTGTTTCCAGATGTTTCGAACTTTATGATCTCCACCCATGTCCCATATCGTGAATGCAACATCACGGTACTTTACCGTTTCCACATTGAATCCTAGAAAAAATTAAGAAATATTTTGGCATTAGCTAAGCTTTACTACGATGTAGATCTGAAAGCTGCAAACCTGTGGGTTCTTCTATATCATTGTCAATGTCACCATTCTTCAGTCTACGCAAAATCGTTGATTTTCCAGAATTCGGTAGACCTAGCTACAAGTAATTTTACAAGAGTATAATATCTATTGTGAATAGAGCATGAATTTCTAGAAATCACTCACCATTAAAACACGACAAAGTTTAGGACCAAAAAGCCAGTAACGAAATCGTGATACAACTCGCCCCATTGATCCTGAAAATGCGCATTTTTGATTTCTAGGTAGAATTGTGGAATTTTAGGAATTTTTGAGAACGTAGTCCAGCGCCTGAACGAGAGTGGAATACCCGGCAACGCTTATAGACTTCTTTGCCGAATTTGATAATCGATAACACTTGCTTAGTAAGCATCAAAAAAAATTTTAGACACCGACGGATGATTTTGCGTCGTAAAAATGCGAATCATGGGGATCATTTGTTTACGATAGTTTCAGACGTCGTTAATGCTGTTGGGCAAACATAGCAAAAGGCAAATTCAAACAAACACTTCAAGGTTTCGCGATTCTATTGACCCTTATCAGCGCTTTTAGAAGGCGGGTCTTGAAATGCCGTGGTATTGCATACGTGGGCTTCTTCACCACTTTGTATAGACAATACTGGCAAACGACAGTCTTTGTAAAGCCTCAAAATCAACAGAGTATCTTTTTGTTCCACATAATCTTCAGTGGATGATGTTTAGCGTTTATCACTGAGATGACAGCTGTGTAAGCTGTTTATAATCCATTTCCAGGATACACTTGCCAAACGTTATCAGCGAACTTTTATTTACCACTGTGTCCAAACTACAAAAAGTTACCAACTGGGACAAAGTTCAAATTGCTTCCCTTTCCATAAATTTTTTACATAACCATTTCAACATCTTTCAAACAATTCTAAGTACAGTCGAGTAGATTTAGCGGTAAATATAGTGTGCTTGCACAGAAGGTGAAATGCGGTAAAATTGGCGCGTGAAGAAATAGCTTCGACTGTGATGCCGGCCAATTGCGCGCGCAAGATACCCGCGGTACTGACGTGGCTACTTGTTCACGCGCAAATTTCACCGCATTTCACCTTCTGTGCAAGCACACTATATTTACCGCTAAATCTACTCGACTGTACATTTCGGTCAAACAATGTCCCAACACTTCTAGTCCACATGGCCATAGGGTCCATGCAGATATTCCAGTTTGAATATGTTTTCTCCGTTATCGATTGCGCAGCTACATGTTCAGTAGCCGACAGGTGAGCAACGGAGCGGAATCGAACCCTCCATCACTCACCCGACGTGGAGATGACTGGCATTGCGCTATGAGCGCAAATACACTAGTTTCGATCTAAAGCTTTGCCTTAGAGCTTGGTTGTGGGCTTATTGCGCATTTTGCTTCCACTGCAGTCAAAGTTTATTTATTTATTTATTTATTTATTTATTTATTTATTTGAATACGCCACAGGCGCGCCATAGTGTCGGGTTAGTAACCAACAGATTCTTGAGAACAAAAATCAGTGTTAGAAATACACAAACTCAGAGACAAGAAAGGCTTAATGCAGAAAAATAAAATAGCTTTTTTTGAGACCATTCGCCACTCTAGGTTAACTAATGAATGATGAATGATAGAACACAAGGACTAACTATCAGAAGCGCTGCCATAAAGGATATTCATATGAGTCTGCGCATGCCACCCTCGCTGACCAGCAAGCGACCTACATTCAAGGAGGATGACGGAGACTATGAAAAGGGCATGCTAGCGCGACAAACTAGGCAACCCTAGTACAACCGAACATACTGGATGAGCCACAAACTCAATAGGAAAACTGGAAATATGCTCGGTAAGAAATACTTCGGGCAGTCTCATTAGCTTAGCCTTATGTACCAGGAAGAAAAGAAAAATTAGACCCAGAACGACAAATATGTCTCAGTCGAATTAAGTTGATAGAATTAGCAATTCGTTCACTTAAATAACAAAATATAATAGTCTACAAAATAATACAAACTAAATTTTTTTTGTTCTCTACAGAAATCTCAAAGATCATGCTGTATGTCGGCTCTTCTAAACTATTGTCTGTCTTTCACTAGTTCCTAAACGTTTGAAATGATTGAAAAACAGAATTAAAGGTCAAAGGCAAAAGGTTTCGGAATCTTCAGTACCCTCTGAGGGCACACGCTGAACACACCCGCTTCATAGTCGAAAAGGCTACGGATGCGTGCGAGCCTATTACAGTGACTTGCGAGGCCAGCCGACCACCAAGTCAGTGCTTTTATCCTCCCAGATTATTCTGGTACCAATTTAACGTCTCCGGAAAGAGGTTGGTTGGTCCAAGGGCGGAATCGAAGTCCGACCTGGACACAGCAACGCCTCATACCGCTACGCCACTCGTCCCCTGAACCACAGAATTCAACAAAACAATGACTATTTATCAGATTATTATGCAGCTATCACATGAATATGCGGAAATGTGAGGGAAAAGTAGAATCATAGGAAATTACATGAAAATCACAGGTAATAACCGTGTTATGACTGGAGGCGTATGTGCTTCGATTACGTACATAATACCCACTTCTAGTGTTGTTGGTCTTGTTTTGCAATTCTATTAAAAAGTTGAGTACAAATTATGCAGAAGGACTAAAAAGTCTTGGATATACATCGATGTCGGCGCTAACTAGGATTATCTACAGTTCAAAAGAAACAAGCAATAGTTTAACTACAAAAGCGTGAATAAATGGGCTGGGTCAACAAGGACGTGTCTAGTACGGTTCAAGTAGAGTAACAAACTATGAGGGAACTGATGAAAATCATAACTTTAAATCAGGGCGTTCTGAGGCAAAGGTCAAAGAAAAGTGTCATGAATGCTCAAACTTTTTCAGTGTATGGGCTTGAGTGCCATTTCTTCTGTCGTGTCGTCGACCGCAGGACTGTCCACGGAAGCAGAACATGCGCCGCGCGGCCATGTTCTTCATTATTTCATTCTACATTCATTATTACATTATAAGTCACTATTCATTTCAGCTGCACCGCACTTGTTCCGCATCCACGGCCAGTCCTCTGCGGTCGACACTTGAGGGAAATAGATACCAATATTTGGGCAGTAACAATTGGAATCATGACGAAGAGAGCAACATAACTTTCTACGGAACTTTCTTCCAATTCTGTGTGCATACTGTATCTACCAATTGATCCTGAAGGCACAAAACGGCAAGATCACGGCATGAAAGCAACACTCTAAACTATGCGAACGTGAATCCGCATTAAATCCGTTGTCATCCACATTCTTCAGTGTCTACAACGGCGTCAAGAAGGTCTGGCACGTAAGGTGGCAATCCGGATTCACTCTCACCAGATAATCGGCTCATTCTAAGTTCCACTTCTGAGCAACTAGCCGAAGATGCCTGTAATGAACGTATTAATCACATCTTGAGGAATCTTTTCCAAAAAGTAACTGGTATGATGGAATGAAACTAAACTAACGATACAGAAAAAGTCACCCCATCTTTGCCGAAGGATCCGCTGTGTGGATTGTCGTACAATGACCAATCGATGTTGCGGAAGAAAGCATGTGCTCGAATAATCTCCAACGATGGACGCGCAGTGAAATCACTGAGTAATCTGGAGAAGAACATGGAGAAAAGTAAAAATCATGCTTATACTTACTGAGACACCAAATCCCTCGCCGCTAGAGAAACCAACGCGTCTTCTGGGAACGGGAGTTCTTCACATCTGAATGATACTGCACTCATTTGGCACTTCAACCGAATGATTTATGAATGTTATTTGCTACCCGTGTCAAGGTTTTGTACCCAAAATGTTATAGCACAAGACGAAGTTTAATAACATAGTTATCTCAAAATCCGTCCCGAGAAAGGAGATCCGCAAAAGCACTTACGCCGAGACTCCATGAGGTGCTGCATTCACAAGCGCTCTTCCACACAACAGCTCGAACATTAGCGCACCCAATGTCCAAATGTCATTTTCCACGCTTGGAATCCATCCATATTCGAAACACTCTAAAAGAGCGAAACAAAATTTCAGCTTAGTAAAGCAAAAGTCTGCGCGAGCTAACCTGGAGCACTGTAACCTTCAGCAAGATCTTTCGGTCGACCGGTGTAATGCCATTTACCATGGTAGGTCAACTGAAGGTTTCCATCCAAATCGATAAGCAAGTTCTCAGGACGTAAATCGCTAAAACGTCTAAAAATCGTCCATAGGTTTTCAGTAAAATATGTGAACACGCTACAATTCAAATATCAGATAATCGGAGAAAACAATAGCCTAATTCTAGGTGGTATCATCGGCTCACAGACTGTCGCGGCTGTGATCGCCAACTGATATTCACTATGTCTCAACACCAGGCAACATCGTCGCCTAATATACAGGGTGTCCCAAAAGTATGTATCGTTTGTTACCCAGCAAGATTCCCACAGGTACCACGTCATCTCGCTGCCTTTCGCTCTTTTGAACGTGTTAACCTCGTGCAGTTCTGTTAAATCTCAGAAGAAACCTGTCAAAAAGAGCGAAAGGCAGCGTCGCACCACATACGCACGCTGGTTCACATGGGAACCTTTCTGGGGCACACAGGATATGCACTGTTTGATCGTTGATATCTCTCTTCCCAGGAAGTCTTTTGCCTTGCTTTAGGTACCGTTTTGTAGAGCTGGCTTTAACTTAGATTTGCAGTATAAAACGAACCACCCATCTCTCTTCATTACTGTAGGATTACGGTAGAAACTTCAAAGGGGGTTTTGAGCAATGAAAGGCCATATTTTGCCTCAGAAAGGAAACAAAACAGCCTAAAAGCTTTTACACTAGGCTAACTAGAGTTGGTGATCCTAACTGTAAAGTTCCCAACTTATTATGATGCTTCATTGATGAGTCATGCCCGGTAAGAGGTAGCGGTCATTTTTTCAATATCCCTAAAAAGTGCGGTTACACCGTTTAGGAAGCTTCGCAATCATGTGAATAGTTGAGTACTAGCTGGCTTGCCCGGCTCCGCCGGGCCTGCCAGCTAGACCCGTGTACGTATGTTCCGGATAAAAAATTCCATTTCTGAACCGATTGGGACCGAACTTTGCACACATACTCTTCGGGGCAGGGAGCCTGTCACAGTCCACTTTTCTTTATCGATCGATGTCGATTTTATCGATTTTTTGCAAAATTTGAGCTAGGGGGCTAGGATTTTGCACAGAGGGGTAATCGAGCATGCTGATCACCCCCACGGGGGTGATCAGCATGCTTGATTACCCCCTGTGCCAACTCCCAGCCCCGTAGCTCAAATTTTGCAAAAAATCGATAAAATCGATATCGATCGATAACGAAAAGTAGCCTATGACACGCTCCCTGCCCCGAAGTATATGTGTGCCAAGTTTGGTCCCGATCGGTTCAGAAATAAAAATTTCTATTCCGCACATACGTACAGACAGACATACATACAGACAGACAGACATTCAGCTTTATATATAAGATTGAACTCAGCGCCCATAAAAACCCTATTACACAAGTTTTCAAATTTTTTTTTGAAACATTTTGAATTGGCAGCTTTTTCCACATTGACACCATATGTTTCAAGTTCCTACCGTAATCCTACAGTAATAAAGAGCGGTCGGTGATTCTCTCCATACTTTAACTCTAAGTTGAAGCCAGCTCTACAAAACGGCACCTGAAACAAGGCAAAAGACTTCTTGGGAAGAGAGATATTAACCTCGCGCGAAACTGTGAGACGATGATACGAGTGAACGAAGTGTAAAATCTCACCCAATCACTTCAGCATGTTCATTATGCAGCACATATAGCCAGCTGACAAGTTGGGCAGACCAATGTATGACCAATGATTCAGGCAATGGCCGGAGCCCTGGCCAGGCTCGACGCCGCTCGCGGCGCAAGTATGAACGAACGCACGATATTGAAGCTATCAACGATTGATCTGGCGAGTAGTCTGCAAAGAATTTTTGGACCTGGCTTCTAAATAAGATAATACGAACCGTCACTCGGTTGTTCCTCGTCATGACGATTTGAAAGACGTACTCGAGCAGGTGATTCTTCTCCTTTCAAAGACACGCTGTCAGCACTTGCTTCGCCGATCAAATAAAAGTCGCCTGATACGATAGTTTTATCGAGAACGGATGTTTATAAAAGAACGATAAACCCCATGATTACCTTGTGGTGCACTGCATACGCCGGTCGCATCTTCGCCCATCGTGCAAACCACGCCAGAAGTAGAAGGTACGTCGCTCTACAATTACAATAGCTGGTACAAATAGAATTAGGCAAGAAAGCTCACAAGGCGAACATCTGCGAACATCAAATTGGAAATGTATAAGACTTATACTAGAAGCAAATCCCGTAAATTTTTTGACTAGTGCTTACAGCAATATTGATAGCCTGATAATAGCATAATCAATCAAAGAAGCTAGCTGCTTCAATTTTGATCCACTAAACAAAACAGACTCACGCTTTGGGACTCATCCCGCATTTCAGCCACTCGCTCAAAGTCCACACCCACAGAAAAATGAAGGCGTTGTCCTAAAATTGGACGTTTCTCCTGTATACTGAGAAAAGCAGTATTTCAAGGGTAAACAGTTCTGGAGCGACCCTTAAGAAGGCGGTCGGTTCATTTTGCAAAGCAGATGCAACTGAGGCTTTTGGGCACTTTTCATCACTGAAGCTCGCGCGAAAGCGCACGCCTGGCTTACAAGGGCAGCCGCCATCGTCCGGGAATAGCTTTTAATTCGATCACGGATTTCTCGCTTCAAGCCCCATTTGCTTGCAACTAGATAATACCTTCGTTGGAGAGCGGGACTACCAATGTAAAAACGATTTCACAATGCCCATTCAACCCGACACTATTTTCAAACGATTCAGAAAGGTTATGCTTTCGCGCTGACCTCTGTAACAATCCAACTCGGCCGCAGCAGCCTGGATCCCTGCAGTCGAACACTGAGGAACATCTCCAAATCCTTCGTCTTCTCCGACTGCTAATGACAACAGGAATCTTTTCTCTGCTTCGGCAAAGTAATTAGCCTGGAAAAGCGTGAATACAACTTATAAAAAAGAAAACAGAAGAAGCCTCACCAAGAAGTTCCATAAAGTACCACTCTCTATATAGTCTAGAACTAGAATGATGTATGTCTCAGTTTCAAAAAACTGATGTAGCTGAACCATGTGGGGTACATTTGTGGGCAGAAGCACTCGACTTTTACTTGTTCTAGTACCTTTCTCAAGGAGTTTCATGACAAAGAATCTTCCTTAAATAATGTGCTGCGATAAGATGATAGCAGAGAAGAGCAACGTTGATGATAATTCAACAAACCTGTAGACTTTTCTTCGACCTTCAGTACCCATTTGATTGCGTTTATGCTCGGCAGCACACCAACTACGCGGTAATTCTTGAGGCATGCATTAGCACACTGGAATGCCAACACATCCGGATCCTAGAAGAGAATATAAAATTGGCAATCTGAGTTTCAGTGACTGCGAAAAGCTCAAAATATCTCAGGGACTATTTTCAAACATAAGAAGAGCCGCCAACTCTATCTTGATGCGCTCTGTGTCATGATATGGATATTGTCCGCTACAATTGGCAGGGCTAAACAAAAGTCAAGATTCGGTCTTGTGTAAATATCCCGCAGAATAAAGGTGAAGTAAGGAAATTCAATCCAATGAAAACATTCAGATGGTTTGGCGGAGCCAATTTTCCTCTCACATTTCTTGCTTCGCACTTGCTAAGAGGATCGCACACGAGAACTCTCAAGCTAATGCAAGACCTACCGCCATGGTCGACTCCACAAGAGACTCCAAATTCACTATGGGGGCAGCACCATCATAAGCCAGATATGTCCGATAGAGGCGTTCCGCAGCCACAAGATATTTTGCAGTTTTTCGACGAACAGCATTACGCCGCGCCATGTCCGATTCATGCTGTATACCCTATGAAAATGATCAATATTGACATTACAGCAAAGTGAAAAGGTTCGATTATGTGAAACTTCAAGATAACGAACGAAAAAAATGATTATAAGAGTTGTTGAGACATGCGTTCATTTGCAAACCATTGACAAACAAAGCTACCATTCTACGGAAAAAAATGAGCAGTTCAACAAACGACAAAGAAAAAATTCGATGGGGCGGAGGAGAGAACAAACATTGGATAAATTCATTTGTCTTGATGATATTACCAGTATGTGAAGAACGATCAATAGAAAACGTGAACAAGTATGGAAAGCTCTCAATGAAATACGCATATGCACTCTACGACACCACACAGCGCCTCCTAACCAATAAATGAGGAAGAATGATAAAAAAAAGACTCATACCTGGATCAAGCTACTGGCTGCATTCTTATAACATTCGAAGGCTAATTCGTATTCGTGTTCGTGTTCAGCACGTTGCGCTGTAGAAACTAGATGAGCAGCTTTGACAATATAGTCCGAATCATCCATTGAAGGCACTGCTGTAAATACAAAAGTGGCAGGGCAAACTATTCCTTATCACATTCGAACGAAAAAAAATTATGATAGACACCTTGTACAGAATTACTTGAAGGTGAAAGTTTTGGAAAAAATCGTTCCATAACTGAGGGTTTCCGACGAGGTCGCAAGGTTATCTCATCCGATGGTTCAACAGTACCTGAACCTAAGAATTTTTGTATTTACAGAAGGTGCGTCTTCGTCAAAATAATTAGAACCGGCTCAACCGACCAAAAATCAAGGCACGCATAATCTCTCCAAAGTTATCTCTTTATAGCATATAACTCACTAATGATTACATCTGGAAACTGAAATTCGCCAGACGCGGAAGTATGCAATCCTACACGTGAATCCGTTGGAGTATCGATCTCCTAAACTCATTATACAATTAAGGAGTTGTTCGAGATACTTTTGCCGTAGATCCAGTGTTCTGCACAACAACGTGTGTACGCGGCTGCTACAAAATCCAGTTAGTATCACTGGGAAGCTCACACCTTGTTGGAGCAGAACAGTGTGCTCTTCCGGCATCGCTGCACGACACGATATTACGAAAGGCCTTTATTACAAAACATAGAAATCACATAGTGGTAATGAAATCATTCGTGCAACAAATAGCTGTGCCAAATAAATATAAACGCAGATCAAAATTAAGAAGTCGGACTGACTGGGGAGGATATGGCTTGAGGAGCTAGCACCTGCGAGGAGTCACCATTTGATTCGTCACTAAAAAGCTACTTTTATAATAAGGAAGAAGAGTCGCCACAACAAAGATAAATTATGAAATGCGAAAAGAAAAGTAAAAATATAGAAACGAAATCCCTGAAATGCGTAAAGACTTTTTCAAAGGCACTACGGCGAGATGGTAATAATTGGTAAACTTTTATGATGAATTATGATCAATGCAACAACTGGTGTGAGACTCATATGGAAGGTTAGAGAAGCATGCAGCATAAATGCAGAGCAGATATAGTTTAAGAAACTAGAAAATTCGAAAAGATTTTCAATGAATCAATTCAAAAACAGCGACACTTCTGCTACTCACACATTCGGAGCATCCAGTATGTTTCCACCCTCGTAGATGAACGAGCGTGTAGCAACCTGACCGGAATTTGGTCGTTCAACGGCTTTCTAAAGAAAGACAGAAAGAGAGTAGATGAAAAGGAAAGGAAAAATAATGATTGATAATACCTCAACCCACTCTTGCAACACTCTAGCTTTTCTCAGCACTTCACTATCCAATACGAATGCTAAGAACTCGTCGATACAATGTCTTCGTTCAGCGATCACTGAAGGTTCAGTGCTACCGAGTAGACGAGGAGCGGCAAAATGTGGAAATGCTCCGCGCAAGTACAACTAAATGGAAATCATTGTTATTCATCGCTATGCTATCAAAACGCTCACTTGTTTGTGTAGCTTGGAAAGACTGGCGTGCAGGCGATTCAGTTCCCGAAATCTAGATGTGATGGTGAAAAATCGATCATCCAACTCGATGTTATTACGTGGAACACACTGAAATGAGACACGATAAACGCGCGCAGTTAGCATAAACAAAGACAGTAGTAAGTCAAAAATCAAAGAAAAAAGGAAGTACGACAAACTACTAGAAAAATTTTTAAATGGTAAAAATTTGTGCTGCTAACTCACTTTTAATTCGATTATGTAGTCGGTATGTGTGAAGGTAATTTGTTTCACGTCGGTGGCCTCGATCACCTTGCCCGTTATTGCCCATTCATTTTTTGGTTGAAAAAGAAGCCGTCCTATTTCACTCGTACAATAGCTCTCATCAGGATAGAGGGAGGACATTTGGCATACTGTAAACTACAGATTCAACATCATTGTCTATGAATAAAGGTTGCAGCAAAAAAAGGTCCACGCAGTTATATAGGCACACATTTTGCGCATTTGTAGGTGGACCAATGATTTTCTTTTCTTCAAATGTTAACAAAGAGCCATGCGTCATATTAAGCGTGTCACCTGCGCCAATCACTTCACTTGTGTCAACCAATTAGAAGTTTCCTATAGCACGGTAAAAAAAAACTTCCACTAATGCTTTCAGGTAATTCAACATTCTCATGATTGCTTTCTCATAAATATGCTGTCTCCAACGATTAGCAAAAACAGCATCGACGTGAAATCTCGATGGTCTTCTGCGCATTACATAATAATCTCCGAGATTTTGTTAATACCCAAGGTTTCTCTAATCATTAATGCCGTGAGACAGACAACGACATCAAAAGAAGTGTCTCTGAAACCCAAAAAAACTGGTGCTATAGGGCGATTATAGGTATAGATCGCGCAATAAGAAACGAATGCATACCTGAGGTTGAACAGAATTCCGAAGAGATACTATGTCTTCATAAGCGAATAAAGTTATAACAGCATGGCAGTGCAGCGCAGAAGTGTATGTTTATGCGAACATAAACCGGTAATAGATTCTCTTGACCACTTTTTGTGTATTCCACGTAAATCATCAGAGCGAAAGGAAACCTTGGGTCACATGGCTGATCACAGCTCATACGGGATAATCATTCAGGGATGGCAGCGTCTCAACAATGCAGAATTTAGCAAGTCGCTGGCCTTATTTAAGCAAAACTATGGCCGAAATTACAGCTCGTGAAGCATTCTGTTTTGAAAGGGATAATTTGATTAACAAAAAGCAAAACAATGACAATAATAAGCCTTACAGATCAATCATTTCCTTCGCTTTTGCTATGATGATTTCCGAATTTTTTGGAAACTAGACTTTTGTTTGTTTCTAACCAAATCTCGTCAACATTTCTTATAAAGCAATGATTAGCCGGCGCTATTCGGCTATCCGGGCCCCAAAATTTTTTAGTCATGGATTTGGCTGAAACTTGGCCCAGAGGGGTTATCTGACATGCTGATCACGAATATCACATTTTCTCGGCAGGAAAACGCCTCCCTGCCGGGTTACGGTAGGTATACGGTAGGGGTTAAAAACGTAGATTTTGCTCAAAATCGATCTAGGTGGGTTATTCGGCCCGCTGATGCTGAATATCACATTGGTTTCGTACCGTAGCGTCATTTTCTTGGGTTACGGTGGGTATATGGCAGGGGGTCAAAGTCTCAAAATCCGCTGTAACTTCGCACAGAGGTGTTATTCGACATGCTGATTAGAAATGTCACACTTTCTCCGCACAAAAACGTCTCCCTGCATGGTTACGGTAGGTTTACGGTAGAGGTCAAAACTACAAAACGGCAAATGTATCTATCCCCTGTGTTTTGCTTAGGCAAAAGCTGCAGCAGGGTGTGTAGCGCGCGGCGGTGGTCGGGTGCTCAATAACTCACGATTGTCCGGATCGCCGTACACGCTTTCAGGCAGAACTATGTTTTACATCCGTTACCGTGTAGCTACCGTAACTCGAGAAAATGACGCTACTGTTCAAAACCAATGTGATATTTGGCATCAGCGGGCCGAATTACACCTTAGGCCAAGTTTCAGCGAAATCCGTGATTTTGGCCCCTTGCCGTATACCCACCGTAACCGCACAGGAAGGCGTCCTCACGCGGAGAAAACGTGATTCCATGACTAAAAAATTTTGGGGCCCGGATAGCCGAATAGCGCCGATTAGCCCTTAGGTTTGCATACGTTTACATTTGTGCTGCACATTGAAGGCAGAGTCCAGGCAAATCTGGATATATGGGAACCTCACGTGGATAGTAATTTTGGGGCCCTAACTAAGCCACTGCCAAACCGGCAGCTCAGGTAGTGCTCTAACGGCTAAGAGATTCCCCTCAAAACTGGACCCCAGAATCGTATTTCGCATGGATTCATGGCGCAACCCATCAGTTTCGCGTGAGTCAATTGATGCGAAATACGATCCTGGGTTCCTTGGAGGCGTTATCTCAGCCGTTAGTGAGTCACCTACGCTGCTACTTGTGGTAGGCCCATCGCCTGCTTCAGCAGGACGCTGCGCAACTAGTAAGCTGAGTCATAGCGTCACGTTGGACGGAAACCAAACGATCTTTTTCCAAAGTGATAATATGGTAAGGCTTTGCTAGCGTGACAGCAAAATTCGTTACGTCCAAGGGCGGTATTTACCAATCTCCTATATGGGAAGGGGGGGGGGTAGATGAACGAACACCTCAATGAGGCACCGCCTTCGCGGGCTGCTGGTCCTTTCGTCCTACCGTTGTGCATCGTGTTAGGACCAGCAGTTTGCGGAGGCGGTGCCTAATTGAGATGTTCGTTCCTCCATCCTGGGAAGGGATCCTGCACAGGTCACAGCTTGAAGGCGCGGGCAATGACGCCGGTATACACGAAGCCAAGCTGGTGATCGGGCTTCTGTCTGTTTGAAGATAGGTCCTACCTGGCAAGTTTGGCCATGTCGGGCAGGCAAGTGTCCGACCTCGACAGGTCGGGCTCTGCTGCTCGTTTTCGCCACGCGCCCCAAACTTCATAAATCATGAAATGGCGCTGTCGCATGTCCAGATACTCGTTAATAATGGCCATAACAGCGAGTGGGAGATTGATAAATACCGTCCCAGCTCATGCAGTATGCCAGGACATTTTCGTCGGATTCCCCTTTTTCTCTCAACCATTATCCTCCCTCCATCAAGTTTAGGTTTTTTACATTTGAAGCCATTATAAATAGGCTGAGATGACATATGATTAAGCTGTTTGAGGCTTTATGTCATTCGCCGTAAGTGTTGACCGCAGCAGATGCGACTCTCCATTATCTGGCGGAGTTCTATAGCTGAAATCGATGAGGATCTATATAAGCAGCTAACCAACGATCAACATTACCAACTTCTAGAGCGAACAAAGGAGCAACGAAACAATCCCAGACAAATGCATGGGCAATCTTCATGAGAATAACAATGTAAATGTTTAACGACGCCCGCCCCCATTACCCTCAAGGAGCTGTGCCTAGCGGAGTGACCGGCGGTCTCCTTACCCTCTATAACTATGATGCCAAGGATTCGATTCGAGATGCAAAATCAAAAGATGACAACACGGTGCCGAAACAAGTCGGGATTATGCGCTCGACAGACTAGGTGACATTGAAGTTATTCAACTGTCAGAATTACAGGGCTTCTAAATTGCGGAGTCGTTTGCACCAGCGGTCGCGCGACCGCGTCGCGCCCGGGTATTTTGCCGGCGCCGGCGCCATTGATGCTGGGGCGCGACGCGGTCGCGCGACCGCTGGTGCAAACGACTCTGCAATTTAGGAGCCCTGTACTTTCTCGTAAACAGCGATCTAAGAGAATATACTGAGACAGCTTAAGGCCCTGCTAAAGCGCGTTCGTTGGGCAGTTTCTTTGCTAGAGCGCGCAAGTTATCAGCTGAGCTCAGACCCAGTTTAACAATGCATAGCAAGGATGCACATAATAGTGCAAAAGAAGCACATTTCTCTTCGCATTGTGAGAAAAATAAACTCAATGAGAAAAAGAAGTTATGACAATGCAAACCAAACACCTAAGGCCTCGGTCATAGTCACCCGATTTGCGCGCGATTCCTTCAGAAAGAAAACAGACAACTGCTACAAATCCACTGCGTGTCGATCACCTTACACATCAGTTATGATAGTTAATCACGCTTGGCCGTGTCTGAAAACTATCACACCAGAATGCAAGATGATCGACATGCAATGGACTCGTAGCACTTATCTTGTTGGGAGAGTCGCGAGGCGATAAAATCGTATGAACTTTAACATAGTGGCAATGCTTCAACGTTCAGTAGTACAAATGGGTACGACAACCCGTTTTTTACGACTCACTTAGAACAAGTCCACAAATTCATTCATCTAGATATTTGCTTGATAACATCTTGAGAACTTTAGAGGACCAGAACATATTATTAGAGAGAAAATACCTAGAAGATACATTTGATAATTCCAAACTTGATCTATGGATTAGAATGAATCAATAATGCTTTTAATGAAAAATATTAGCACGGAAGTAGTGACATAACTTTTTCAAAGTAAACAAACAAAACAACGAGCAACCATATTATATCACAAAAAATCTCTACGCAAAGCAACAAAGATAGAGCGGTCTCGATAAGACATCGATGCGCGATTCTTGTCTTATCTAAGTCAAACAACTCCAAGCATTAGCTTATAGAAACGCAAACATGTTTATAGATACGCAAACACCAAATCCCTAGATGAAGGCAAATCAAAATGCTTAGATATAGGTGCGTGCAAAAAGTTCTCTTCAATATAGGAATGACCACAAAAAACGGAACGAGAGCATCAACAATACTCGGTAACCTACTTTTAACATTCCTTCATAGACACTGTAGCCAATCAACAAAACAAGTGTTCAAGGGAGGTAAAGCACGACTGTGGCGCAACATATTCAGACATGCCATACACGACAACCTATTTCTTCCCCCAAATCCAACCCTTGACCATTCCTGAAAGACCGCTTTGTTGTTCTTCACCAGCTCCTTTGGCTTTCGCGGCTTCGGCAGCTTTCTTGGATACAGGAGTTGCCTTCGTACCTTCGATACATTTAGCGAGCCGTTCCTCAAGGTCAGGCATCTAGAATGTGCGATTTGATAAACATCTGCTGGCTCTGCAGAAATAGCAACATGAAGGTAGAGACTATGTAGGATTAAAAAAAAACGTAAAATGTCACATTAAATCGCTGACAAAATAATGATAGAAATAGCGACGTCGTAAGCCAGAAACTGATGCGCTATTTTTCTCCATCTTTATGAGAATGCAGATCCAGTTCTATGACGTAGGGTATGCAAAAACTGGAAAGTGCCCTGATTCTGTGCGTCTTCCGCGATTTTGAAAAATAACATAGTAAGCATCAACCGAAACATATACAATTTCCAAAAACAAAGCAACGGAACGCGCATTCTGATTTTTGCAAAATAAAACATTGAGCAACATCTACAGCTAAGATGACAGAGAACTTTAGATCTTTGTGGCAACTTTTCAAATGAGACACCGATACACACCAAACGTATGATGGAATGTCTTTGGAGAAACGGTGAAGTTCAGTGGCTAAAGCGCCTAAGCCTTGGCCATGATCAACCAACAATACGATGTCTGAAAGTATGAGAGCGCAATTCATCAGAGTGCAAAACCATATGATAAAGGACCTATTGCTATTAACATCAGTTTGTGTCAGAACAAAAAGCTTACCTTAATATGATTCAGGGCTAGATCAAAGAATAGCGGCTTGTTTGGCATGAGAATAAATGGAGGTGGCATTTCTGCTATCGGGATGTTTCGCTTCTCCTTCAGAGCATCGGCCACATCCCATTGCCTCCACTCAGCAAGCGTGTCAACCAAAGGCTACAAAATGTCTATCTTCAAAATTCCTGACAAATTCGCTAACAACGTAAATTCTGGCAAAAGAGATGGCCAACCCTATCGTCGATAATGCGGGCCGTTTTTTCGTCCGTTTCATCAGCAACTCCGGCTGCTGACGCCAAACGCTTGGCCTTTGCCGCTATTCGAGCGTGCTCAATTTCACTCGCAAGATTATTGAGAGCCTCCTGAGAATAGAATTATTAGCAAGCGAGCATTGGATATGGATAGGAAGAAGATTGGTCAAATAACGCATCATCCAAGCGAACGTTACAGATACAGCAACGCCCCCATATACTGGAAATTTATCTTAAAGATTGAATAATTCAAAAAAGTAGTAGCTGCCACCTAACTAAAAATGCCACCAAGTCTTTAGCTGAAGCATTCACGTATATTGTTCGCAGGTAACTTGATCAAGGTGTTTTTAAAGGTATTTCAGAAAAGTACAAAATCTATTATTTGAATACGAAAAGATAAACTCAAGAATGTGAGAAAAAAAGACTAACAACAAAAAGCTCAAGATACTCACTTCTGACTCTTCCTGTACATAGGTGTTACCCCTGAGTTTCGAAATCATTCTCTTTGCGTCCTCAGTGCGTTTCAAAGCTCTTTCAAACAAAGCGGCGGCTTCTCCGAATCTTGACAACGCAGCATACGCAGCTGCCATGTGATGACACCTGCATACATAAACTGTACTTTCACTAAAACTCGAATGAATGGAAGAAGTACCTGAATGCTCTATAGTACTCGATTTTCGCTGAAACAGCTTCGGTCAGATTTTTGTCATGTTCTATTCCGGGCAACTGGAGGAGCTGCAGCAACAGTAGATAGAACATAGACACAGACAGCATTACATACAGAGATGAACGGAATGCTAAACAAACCTCTCGGTACACCTCAATCACAGAATCGTACAAACGCAAAAAATCTTGAGGCTTCGATTTCTTTTCAGATCTGGAAAGAACAGAATGTTTGATTGGTTTTTCATGTCAGCCCAATGACTGGTAAAAATCACGTAAATGAAACAAGATAGAAAGAAAAAGAATATGATAACTCACTTAGCATTTTCAATCATCGCTAAATAACGCGAAGCAGTCCCAAGCATTTTCAAAAATTCCAGATAGGACTTGATTGATTGCAGAACCTAAAATGAAGTTTCTACAACTATGTTTCGATGATAGTCAAGCTTTAGTTCTTATCGAATACTAGCTGGCTTACCCGGCTCCGCCGTATCCGGACCAAACTTGGCACAATACACTTCGGGCCCCGGCGGGTGTCACAGTCCACTTTTCGTTATCGATCGATGTCGATTTTACCGATTTTTATCGATTTTTTTGGCAGAGTTCACCTTCAGGGCTAGGAGTTGGCACAGGGGGGAAGTGAGCATGGGGATTCCGAATACAATATTAGTTTTCAGAATTATCGATTGCTTTTATTGATTTTATCGATTTTTTGGCAGAGTTCACCTACAGGGCTAGGAGTTGGCACAGGGGGGGGGGGGAGTGAGCATGGGGATTCCGAATACAATATTAGTTTTCAGGATCGTCCATTACTTTTATCGATTTTATCGATCTTTTTGCAAAGTTTGACCTGCGGGGCTGGGAGTTTGCACAGAGGGTAATCGAGCATGCAGATTACGAATACAATATTAGTTTTCAAGATCGTCCATTACTTTTATCGATTTTATCGATTTTTTGAAAATTTGAGCTAGGGGGCTGGAATTTGGCACAGGGGTGTTCGAGCATGCTGATCACCCCCCTTGGGGATGATCAGCATGCTCGATTAACCCCCTGTGCCAACTCCCAGCCCCCTAGCTCAAACTTTTCAAAAAAATCGATAAAATCGATAAAAGTAATCTATAATCCTGAAAACCAATATTGTATCCGGAATCTCCATGCTCGATTACCCCCCTGTGCCAACTCCCAGCCCCGTAGCTCAAACTTTGCAAAAAAAATCGATAAAATCGATAAAAGTAGCGGATGATTCTAAAAACTAAAATTGTATTCGTAATCAGCATGCTCGATTACCCCCCTGTGCCAACTCCCAGCCCCGTAGGTCAAACTTTGCAAAAAAATCAATAAAATCGATAAAAGTAGCGGATGATTCTAAAAACTAAAATTGTATTCGTAATCAGCATGCTCGATTACCCCCCTGTGCCAACTCCCAGCCCCGTAGGTCAAACTTTGCAAAAAAATCGATAAAATCGATAAAAGTAGCGGATGATTCTAAAAACTAAAATTGTATTCGTAATCAGCATGCTCGATTACCCCCCTGTGCCAAATTCCAGTCCCGTAGGTGGACTCGGCAAAAAAATCGATAAAGATCGATAAAATCGATATCGATCGATACGAAAAGTAGCCTATGACACCCGCCGGGGCCCGAAGTGTATGTGTGCCAAGTTTGGTCCCGATCGGTTCAGAAATGGAATTTTCTATTCGGAACATACGTACACACATACATACAGACAGACATACATACATACATACAAACAGACAATCAGCTTTATATATAAGAAGATCATGACACCTTATTCATACTAAACCTTCTATTGTTTCACAAAGGAGAAGTAACTCACTGTAGAGTCGGCGTTATCCGATGTTTTTCTGCGAATCAAATCTGAAATTCGCTCAAGAGCATCTCTTGTATCGGTCAGCTGCTTCTCATAAAGAGCCATCTAGAACGTGCTAGCTATGTGAACTGTTGACTATTGCTTTCTAGTCGACATTACCTTCTCTTTCGGTGTCTGGCATTGTGCCAGTTCATTCTGGACCTGTTGCCAACCTTGCACTACTTGACGCGCTTTGTCGTCTTCAACAGTTGATTTGAATCCACCCCAATTGATAATGACTGCATCATCGCATGTCGCTTTCGATCTCATCTCAGCGATAAGACGCTAAAACGTAAAGCTGTCAAGATGCTATTTTTCCTAAGGCTACTATTGCTCACATCCACAGCTTCACTATCAGTGCCTTGAGCACGTATTTCCATCAACTCATTCATCATACCATCCACAGGTTTGCCAGTTGCCTCAGCGCAACTGAATTCGCAGAGTCGAATCTGCGGTTGGATCTCGCGACACCTGCAGAATGGAAGGTACTTTTACATCCCAAGTTAAGCACGAAATAAAATAACTGAATGCCATCCTGTCGTAATGAAAAGAATATTTAGTAAGTCGCGAACTTATTTCAACAAGCAAATGCAATGTCCTTACAATAATTTCATCAACCTTTTTCCTTGACAATGTACATTGTCAAGGAAAAAGGTTGATGAAATTATTGTAAGGATTCTATATGTATTCCAGTAGATTCTTATTGGACTGCGCTGCCAATCTACGTACAGACACCATATTCAATACAAAGCAAAAAACAAAGATATTCAGAAGAACTAATATGAAACAAATAAAGCATGATTAAAATTATGAAATTCCCAAAGAAGAACAAGCCCTCCTCACCTTGCTTTGTACAGATTCGCGAGTGTAGTATTATGTGTAGCCTCTGCTAATCGCTCATATACCTTCCTCGCATTTTTGAGCAGCTCACAGGCTTCGGGCCATCTGCGCATCTCGAAAGCACATACGCCGGCCAGCCAGGCAGTGTATGCTTGGGCTTCAAGCTTAGTTGGAGCATCGCACTACAATGATCAAATGAAGAGCAATAAGGTTGTAAGTCAATTCCTAGACCTACCCGAGAGGAATTTCGTACGAGTTGTTCAAGAGCAGCTGCATGGAAAACAGCACGCTTTAGATGCATGCGCATAGACATTCGTTTACGCATCTTGTCCGGATTGTCTTCCATTTCCATTTTATCGGACATAGCTGATGCCCACCGACGTTCCGCTTCAAAAAGACCAAGTTGGATAAACCTGAAAATACGATTAAGAGGCGTGTGCTAGCGTAATCACAAAGCTGCAAGTTATGCAAGCTTCTGTGCAAACTAAACATTATCTTGCCCTTAAAAGCAGCCAACCACATTCAAACAAAAAATAGAATTTTCCAGAAGTCAATGAAAACCACAGCAAGATTCCGCTATTGCAAAAACTCTTAAAGGCAGCAGCTCGCCAAAACCGAACATCCCGAAATTCTGGCATGGAAGGTTGCTTGCACCCCAAACATGAGAAAAGAGCAGCTCTGAGCGCACAGCATGTTGCCCTTGCCTAGAGAACCCCGTTACGCGCAAGCCATTCTAATACGCGCGGACGAGCTTGCGATTCTCTCTGACCCGCGGGTCGGGGAACGTCCGGAAGGCGACAAATGACCTAGAACAGGCGCAGCTAGTGGCCACGCCCTGTCCGAGTTTCGCGTGGTAAGGATGCTCTGGATATTTGGATTGGGGCGCCTTTATACACATTGCGCATGGCTCTCTCAATCTCTGACTTCGTCGTTTGTTCTCTGGTTTTTTTGGACGTTTTTGTTCGTGTATGTATATTATTGCTCATTGTGGTAATGTGATGATTTGCTTTTTTTTGTATTCGCCTCTCTGTGAGCATATGCTCTTCTGCCTTTTATAAAAAGTTTTGTTTCAGGCTGCAGGAATATGCAAGGTGCAATAAAAGATCATCCTAGTAAGGAGGTTAGTAGATATCTGCGTTTTTGAGTGATGTGATAGTTTTGTATTTTTTCATGGGTTAGGTATTTAGTAACTATACCATTTATACGTTAATTAGTTTTTATGCAGACCTCGTCCAAGTTGATGATGTCGAGCGGATAGAATGTGAGTAGAACTCCACTCAACAACGGTACTATAAGCCAGTTATATCAAGTAAAGGTGAGCTATTATTTTTTTGCATCTTCTTTACAATACGACTTTTCTTCAGGCTGAACATAGAAGAAGATTTTGAGCACTTTGAGCAAGGACGCATTCTGCGGTGGGATCTCGATGTTGAGACTGTTCGAGCACTTCAAATTTTTTATTTCAGCTGTCGCTTGCAATACACTGTAATGTGATAGTGATATAATAATCACTCTTTTTTCTGATTGTTAGCATCGCTGCCTTTTTTTCATTGAGAATAAAGATTCATCGTTCAAACTGTAAAACAGAAGAGCGCAGAAAAGCCGAGGAAAGGTCATAGAATTGATTATGGACAGAATGCGAGTTAGCTAGCGGGTTGAGTAATTGGACAGTTCTGGATTTCCGGCAAAAAGAGTTTGTATTTCTTCCACCGAAAGGGAGCTGATTTGCAACAGTATGATAGTTTTGATTTATCTTGTCTGTTTGAACAATACCACACTGCCTTTGCATGTCTTGATTACCGTTCATGACAAGCTCAGTCGTTGCGGTGCATGATCTATGAATTTGAATGTGACAAATCGACTTCCGTGAAACAAAGGAATGAAGATCGCGGAAAAACTGCACTTCTAGGTTAAAAGAACGCGCTTTCGAAGAAATTGATCTGCTCATAACCCGTCTTTTGGGCGGCGAATTGCGATTATGTTCTCTCATTTGTTCCAAAGCTATAATGACGTGTCTCGTAGGTCTGTAATGCTTGATCTTTTCAACCTTGAATTGAGGAAACCAAAAGTTGCACTACCGAACTCATGGACAAGTATCAACAAGGGAATAAATTTCAAGTGACACATTTACTCCGTAAGCTGCTTAGCCCATATTTGACCACTAGTTTGACCGAAGGCAACAAGTAAAACAATGGAAACTCCAAAGAATGCTGTTACCATTCGTGCGCCAGCACGTGTGCCGAAAAAGCGTCAGTCCTGGGCCTGATTGACCTGACGCTCAGTCGCAGGCGCCCATGAGGGGCGTGGCCTCGATGCGCTCGCTCCAACTGGGTTTTGTCGCCTTCCGGGCTACACCCCCGCGGGTCAGAGAAGGCATGCCGCAATGTTGTAACTGCGGGGGTCGCGCAACGATTCTGCCTCTCTGCCACTCGTCGAAACTCAAAATGGGAGACCTTGGGAAATGGCGCTTTTTGCCATTTAGATCTGACACGTGTGGGGCTTTGACATGGAAACTGAATGTGCGGCCTTAACTAAGATACCGACCAGGCAGTGCCAATGATTCATCCATGGCCAGAAAATTTATCTCCAAACCACCATGCTTCCGCGCGGAGACTCATCGCCCCGGCCGATGGAAGCCGTCCGCTAAATAGGTGCTGGTTAGAGGTCTGCAGAGAATTTCACGGCAGTTAACGAATCATTTGCGCTCCCGCTTGGACAGTTAGGAACACTACTTCGATGCCACCATACAACCGATGATCAACTACCAGCTTATCAAAAGTGAACAGCATCTTATATATACACCTGAATGTCTGTTTGTTTGTCAGTCGGTATGTACAGGGCTTATCAAACGCATTGTGCTTGCATTAGCATCTCCACTCCCGCGCTGGACTCTTCATTTCTGCCAGAGTCCACTGCGGGAGTGGAGATGCTAATGCAAGCGGCACTGCTTTGATAAGCCCTGTATGTACGTATGTTTCGAGTAGAAAATTCCATTTCTGAACCGATCGGGACCAAACTTTGCTCACATACATTTCGGGACCGGGCGGGTGTCACATACTTTTCGTTAAAGGCAGCGTCCAGGCAGATCTGGACCTATGGACCTTTTACGTGGAATGTACTTTTGGGGCCCTAACTAAGGCACTGCCCAAGCAGCAGCTCAGGTAGTGCTCTAATGGCTGAGATATTCCCCTCGAAACTGGCCCCCGCGAACGTATTCGCATGGATTTATGGCGGTTTCGCGCCAGGATCCACGCTTTGCGCCATGAATCCATGCGAAACACGGTCGCGGGGTCCAGTTTCGAGGGGAATATCTCAGCCATTACAGCACTACCTGAGCTGCCGCTTGGGCAGTGCCTTAGTTAGGGCCCCAAAAGTACTTTCCACGTAAAAGCCCCATAGGTCCAGATCTGCCTGGACGCTGCCTTTAAAGGCAGTGGATCGGCAGAAGGAGTCCCGTGGCAAAACAAGGTCAGTGGGTAGGAGCCCCCTAATGGAACCTATCGGCCAAAGTCCGATTTTTCTCTGCCACTTCTAACCCCGAAATTTCAACGCGAAAGCAGCGCTCATCCTCTCCTCTCCGACCCCGTCCACCCCATGGACGAGTGACTTCCATGGTCAGAGGGCGCATGCCGCAACGCTATAAGCATAAGGGTCCCGCAACGACTCTGCGTCTTGGCCATGGCGGGCTTCTCACTCGTCCGTGGGGTGGGCGGGGTCGGAGAGGAGAGGAGATGAGCGCTGCTTTCGCTTTGAAATTTCGGGGGTTGGAAGTGGCAGAGAAAGATCGAACTTTGGCCCATAGGTTCCATTATGGGAGCTTCTACCCTGTGAGCTTGTTTTGCCACGGGTCTCATTCTGCCGACCCACTGCCTTCAACGATCGACATCGATTTGATTCTCTGCACAATTCATATTGTGGGCTGTAGAGTGGGCAGATAAGGGTAATCGAACATGCTGATTACGAATACAATGTTAGTGTTTGGAATTATCCACTATTTTTATCGATTTTGTTTGCGAAGTTTGACCTAAGGGGCTGGGAGTTAGTATGGGGGGGGGGGGGTAAGTGAGTCTGCTGATTACTACAGCACTAGTTTTTGTAATTGTCTGTCACTTATCGACTTTTGCAAACCCTGAGCTACGGGGCTTAGAGTTGGCACAGAAGGTAAGAGAGCACGCTGATCACGAAACATGATGAAGAGTGGGGACAGGGGCAGGAAGTTGTGCAAAAATCGGAAATGCCAACTAACATAGTCTATTGACAGGACCGGGCGGAGCCGGGTATGCCAGCTACTTTATTATAAAGATTTTGTAAGCTGCCAGAACACTATAATAAGATGGTACCCAAACCCTAGATGCTTGCCTTACCTCTCATCGGAAAAGTCCAATTCATTCATAGGTTTCTTAATGAACTTCGCCTTATGTCTTCTCACGCATTTGTGTGTGTTGGTGAACTTCAGAGCATGTCGAACGCGATTCAGCTTTGAACGACAGTAAGCCCTTGAAGAATGTTTTTCAAACCACTAAACGAAGTAAATGTGCATGGAAAGCCTAGTAAAATTCACCTGTATCGGTTGTAGTCGCCATGTCGCAACCCATGTTGCTGCTGAGCATCCTTCACCATCTTAATCATTAGTTGCGTTAGCAGTGATTCAAGGGGATGACACTCACAAGGGAATGGTTAGAACTTCGTACGCCAATCCAAGCAAGCTGTATTTTCACACTTCCTTGAAACGCTGATCTCAGTCATAAGTTTTTTTTTTACTTGCTAAGGGTTTATCTGAAAGAATTAAAGGTCGGGCATTGCATCGCTTCGCAAATGTCCCAACAAGACAATTGTTACAAGTTCATTCTGTGCGGATGATCTTGCGATAGTTTTCCGACGCGGCTAATCGCACTAATTATCACAACCGAAGTGCAAAATAATGAACTCGTAATTGTCCTGTTGGGAGAATCGCGAGGCAACGAAAACGCGTGACGTAAGCCCGTCTCTTTAAAGCGTTCAAAAGTGCGGATTTATCGAGTCTTCAGTTTGTAAAATACGTTTCTGCTCCATCCACGCGAGTATATTCATGACGTAATTACTCGCCCTTAGCTACGTTTTAACGAACTTCATCCATTGGGACCTGACTAAGTTCTTTTATTCAAACGCTCATACTCCTTCGATATAGTCGCTTAACAGACAATGAGCATGAAGTTGAGATTAGCGAATCAAGAGTGATATGCAGCGCGATGAGAAACAACTTGCTTAAAATGAGAGTTCCGACCGTTCCCTTGCCAACTCCCTGGTTGCATCGAGAAAGACCCAGCCTACACTCGCACGAGCAAACTCTGTACGAATGTTTACCTGCAAAATGTGAACGGTTGGAAATGGTGTCTGGTCAACAGAAGCGTCTTCCATCTCCACATCTTCTGTCGCCATTATTGCCTGAAAATTTGTAACATGAGGAAAACACCACAATACAGAACACCCGCGCGCTGAGGCAAAGCACAAAATATTTCTGGCCGAAACTTGGAAATGGCCCTAGAAGACCAAACTGCTTGATGGTATTTGTGCAAATGTGCGTCGCACACAATAACACGCGTCCTCTTTCGCTGTAGAATCTCGTCCTCTGCGCGCCGTCGCGGCGATGCTGCTTCGAGCGCGCGGATTGAGCCCGGACACGACATGCAGCCAATTCGGAAAACACGAACTCAGCTCCTATCCGTCCGTTTATACATTCGGTTTCCCGGATTAGAGGAAACGTGCGCATAGCGCAGGAGGCTTTGCGAGCGCATAGCGCTGGCATTTCGCCAAGCAAAGACTGAGGAGAATGAAGAGAGGCAGACTTGAGTTCTCAGCGTGATATGATATACTATAGCTGCGAAATGGCGCGAACCGTTGCGACGCCCGCCAATCCAATTTTCGCCTAAAGCGGGTCGAAACTCACTGTAATACCTACTTACCCTCGATATCAGCCCTTATGTCTTCCCTCAACATAACGTGGAGGATTGGTGAGGCGCGTTTCGCTTCAAGCATGCGCCACGTTGCATGCGCATCTTTGGCGTGGTGTACTCAGATAATCGCGGGGGGGGGGGGGCAGGCGGTCTGCAAGCTCGCATTTTCTTGCAGGCGATCAGCAGAATTTTGGGGCATGGCCGAACCTCCAGCAGACGGTACCTTATTTACTGTCGAATGTCCTGCTAGCGGGGTAGACAGTTTTCTGCGGGTGCTCGTCAGATAATCTCTTTCAGCGAGCGCTGGCCAAACTTTCAGCAGGCCTCGGACTCTTTTTAAGCAGTTTCGGGGTTACGTCGAGCAAATGTGACACTCTATGCTGCAGAGAAGTCATCGATGGTTTAGTCTCAAGTTTGAGGTACTTTCTCTCAGCGGAAAGTACCCGGGGGCTGCGCGGTCCTCCATAAAGGACCGTTCGGCCCTCAAAAATTTCGCATATTCTCGCGGAAAGTCCGCGAGAATGCGGCCACTGCGCCGCAGCTAATATAGGGATCGTTCATACCGCGCACAAAGGCGGACGAAGGCGGACGAAGCCGGACGAAGACGGACGAAGACGGACGAAGCCGCACAAAGGCGGACGAAGGCATGTGTGAGGGTGTGTGTGTCGAGAGAAACGAGACGAGGCGTGTGTGAGTGTGTGCATGTGTGTCGAGAGAAACGAGACGAGACAAGGCGCGCCTTCGTCCGCCTTTGTCCGGCTTTGCCCGGCTTCGTCCGCCTTCGTCCGGTTTCGTCCGCCTTCGTCCGGCTTCGTCCGCCTTCGTCCGCCTTTGTGCGCGGTATGAACGATCCCATATAAGGAAACCGCGATTGTTCTCCAAGCATTTGTCAAAATTTCGCTAAAATTCTTCAAAATATCTGCAAGCGGACCGCAAGAATCAGCGAAGTATTCTTCCGGGTGCCCGCCCGCCCATAATTCGCTTGGCCGCCTGCCCCCAGCGATTATCTGACAAGGGAATGGTCAGAAATCGAAGTGGCCATTCCAGACAAGCTGCATACCGTTAGATGCAGCATGAAGCGCTGACTCTAAACCTGTCTTCTTTATCTGCTTATCGCTTTTCTGGACGAAGTTATAAGCCATTAAAAACCATTATTTTGCTTAAAAAATTATGCGTGAAATTGAAAATTTAGTCGTACATGGTCACGTTCGGCTCAGTGCTGGATCAAAACATGCAGCTAGCTTACCTAAAATTTTTGAAGCCAGAAGCCGAGCTAAAAGTGCAACAATGTGCTCAATTTCGCTGATTTTATGTATGATTTTTTTTCACAATAAAACCGCTTGTAGCTTCGTCCACAGAAGCGGGAAGCAGATAAGGAAGACAGATTCGAAGTCAGCGTTTTATACTGCATCGAATGATATACAGCTTGTTTGGTTTGGTCACTTCGACTTCTGACCATTCCCTTGTGAGTGGCATCAAAAACAACGTGGAAATACCTGCGCCACATTGTTTTATCGAATATCATTCGACTTTCGAATATCATTCGAAAAATTGAATGCCCTGTGATATGATAGTATGGCCAAGCTCATAGTTTACATGTACTATGAGTTTTTGTAGTTACCTTTTATGCGACTACTACTCTGCGCACGAATTATGATAGGCTCCCAGATTCGTGTGAAGGTGTATTGCATACTCTGACTGATAAAACGATGAACTTGTTAAACGTCCACGTAATAACACTGCTTTTTGTATGCGCTTTGGGTGAACTCTGATCGATTGGCTGCCATACGGGACTTGCGCACAGCGAGCACACCTCAAACTTGGGTAATTAAACTTTATTACTAAAAGCGACTAACAACTATAAAGCTTCTACGAAAATAATACACAAGCAATACAAATCCATATATTCAACCGGATACACTGTGAGTTGCTGTGAGCGATCCGTGAAAGGACATTGACTGAACTGTGAACTCCGTGAGGGTAAGGCAACTGTGAGAAAATAAAGAAACAATTGAAAGATGAGATACAAACCATAAAATCATAACCAGTGCTCGCTAAACTATGCCAGACATTTATATATGTAAGCGAATATAAACAAAACATCAGTAAGCATGAGAATCTCACAGATAAGCTAACAGTTAACAAAACAATAGATACGAGCCTGTGAGAAATTCGCGCTTCAGTCGTTGTTAGTCATGCGCAATTCTCCGGGGACAAAGTATCGTGCATACCCCAGAATTGTTCCCATACGAAACATCAACGTGGCTGCCTTTCGATCGTTTTAACACGTTAGCTCCAGCAAATTCAGAGCGCTTATTCGACGTTGACATGTTGAAATGATTAAAATACAACCACTTTGATGGTTCATATGGGAACAATTCTGGGGAATGTACTATACAATACGAACATGGCGGTGACGGTCGCAGGACTTCGGACCGGGGGGGGGGGCGACAAAAATTTTTTTTCAGATGAAGCTGCGTGGCGTTAGCCACGCACTCCGAAAAAAAATTTTGGGGTCCCCCGAAGAAAATTTTTTTATAAAGCTAATTTGAATTTTTAGAAATTTTTAAAAAATATTATAATTTTTACAAAAATACAAGTCGTTTGCACATTTTTATAACCCATATAGGTAAGTTTCAAATTTCGCGACTCATTCTCGGGGAGGGGGGGGGGGCGCCACTGGAACATGGAGAGTTCGTACTCTCTCGCTAGCAAAAACCGCCGCGCTGTGAGTTGGCAAGACTGCTCCTCTACACGAAGCCGATGATATATCCCAGCGCGCTGCGCGGACTCTTTACATCCAGCCCGTGCTGTCGACAACTCGACGATACACACATAGTATACACATTGTTGAACACTGTATAAGTGCTATGCACACAACTTTTAAATTGGCACTCATAGCAATAAGCAATCTTCCTCTCGTTGGCAGTGTGACAAGCTAGACCGCTGCTGAAAATACTATACAGTGACTGGTTACCATATCCCTGTTCCACACTACAACAAACGACGAACTTCTTGATTCAACACTAGTCCCTCCGGCCACTAGTGCAATTACCTTGAATACGCTCTCAATTTAGGACGTCGAGGGAAGTAATGTTGTTACGATATCACGAAAATCTTCACGTTCAAATTAACATCTGTCACCTTTTTTCGAATGCGAATGAAGAACAGCGTGCACTAGACCTCAGACCCATTAACAGGAGTCGATTCAACAAGTCAACTTCTCAAGCTATGTTGCTTTTTGAATGTTACTCAAAACTTCAATACATCAAGAATTTCCAGGGTCGGTAGTAATCTGATCGAAACTCACGGTCATTCTTACTTGACTCTGAGTTATATCTGAGCAACGCGCACCTTTCTTACCCCCTCAAATAGCGCTTGAATGGATCAAAAGTATAAAGCGATGATATAGCAGAAGATCTAATAACCGGTAGTTTACTCCTAGTAGGATAATATTGTCGTAGCGTTCTACACAAGAAACAGCTCCACCGAAAGCGCAGCCGTGCTTTGCAATAACTCTGAGTTTGGTGCGCGTTACAGTCTATCGTGGAAGTCACAAGGGAAGTTCGCCGAATCGAAATGGCCGATTGATACATGGTATATACCCGGACGCGGGGCTCGGGAGGTTAGCATCGAATGTGCGCCCATTAGCTGCGACGCGTTATTGTGAAGCAAGTTATGGCCCTCTGAAGTTTTTGGCGTGTGCATGTCTAGAGAACGCACAAATACTCAGGTTGTGGTCGTGTGGTGTAGTGGTTAGCGTCTCGGACTCACAGGTGAGGGTTCGAATCCTGTTGCTGTCCACATGTTTTGCGTTCTTCTCAAAATTCATTTTTTACCTGTTTTATGCATTACTGACGTAAGAAATTACACATGCGGGTGGTTAAACTCAACTAATTATACATCCTGCCGTGTTATTCTCACAAGGTAGCCGATTAGCAAGAATCAATAGTACGACGTGATACAACTTGGAGATTGTCACGTAAATACTAGGTGCAGTCGAAGAAAGTATGTGGGAGTGAGGATTTGGCAAATCTTCAAAGTCGACTGAAAAGCCGTCGCTAAAAGTCGTTGCTATGTTCTACGAAAATCTTACGTATGAATCATTAGTCGAATTTTCGTGATAAAAATCATCCCGTAACCCGTGTGTGTCATTTTTTACCTCAACCTTATATATAAAGCTGAATGTCTGTTTGTCTGTATGTATGTACATATGTCTGTCTGTCTGTCTGTGTGTGCGTATGTTCCGAATAGAAAATTCCATTTCTGAACCGATCGGGACCAAACTTGGTACACATACACTTCGAGCCCCGGCGGGTGTCATAGGCTACTTTTCGTCATCGATCGATATCGATTTTATCGATTTTTTGCAAAATTTGAGCTACGGGGCTGGGAGTTGGCACAGGGGGTAATCAAGCATGCTGATCACCCCCGTGGGGGTGATCAGCATGCTCGATTACACCCCCCTGCCAAATTCCAGCCCCCTAGCTCAAATTTTGCAAAAAATCGATAAAATCGACATCGATCGATAAAGAAAAGTGGACTGTGACACCCGCCGGGGCCTGAAGTGTATGTGTGCCAAGTTTGGTCCCGATCGGTTCAGAAATGGAATTTTTTATCCGGAACATACGGCGGAGCCGGGTAAGCCAGCTAGTAATACATAAAACAGGTAAAAAATGATTTTTGAGAAGAACGCAAAACATGTGGACAACAAACGATTTGAAACCTCACCGGTCACCTGTGAGTCCTAGACGCTAACCACTACACCACACGACCACAACCGAGCATTTGTGCGTTCTCCAGACATGCACACGCCAAAAACTTCAGAGGGCCATAACTTGCTTCACAATAACGCGTCGCAGCTAATGGGCGCCCATTTGATACTAACCTTCCGAGCCCTGCGTCTGGGTATATACTACGTATCAATCGGCCATTTCGATTCGGCGAACTTCCCTTGTCAGAGATAACTCTGACAAGAGAACGATCCCAACTTAAGATGGCGAAATGGTATGAACCGCATACCATTAGATGCGTCATGATGAGTTGATTCCAAATCTGCCTTTTATATCTGCGACACCGTTCTCTGGAAGAAGTTTTGAGTGGTTAAGTATGTGATGACAATGGGGTTCCAATGCATAAAGCGCTTTGAAATCCAACTTGGGAGTGCATGATTAGCATGATATTGAGTGTACTGATTTCAGAGGATGTTTACATTTAACGGAAACACAAAGAAGTGTTTTTGATCAACTAATTCTTAAGGTATGGAGCGGTATATTTGCCAAATTTCGACTTTTTATCGCTCATAGCTTCTACCAAACAACTCATTTTGTTTTTCAGTTGTTCGAAAATAGTTCTTAGTGTTTCCTAAGAATGTATAGTGGTCCTCACCCCACTAGTCGGTCGGTGGTCGAATTTGAATTCGAATTGGAGCAGGCTGACCGCGGCAGACGCCCCTCAGCCAACCGCTTGCAGAGCTTTTCTCTTATTTTCTTCGTGTTTCTTTGCTATCTTTCGTATTGCGGCAAAGTTCTTTATCAGATTTTTAGATTTCGCACCGCTAACTATTGTTTTGTGCATTTGTGCTCGTTTGTTTTCCGGGAAGAAGGATGCGACTGGAGTTTTTTGGATGAGAAATCTCTTTTGTCCTGTAAGTGACATATACACAAATGTGATTTGATGAAATGTTTCAAGTTTTTCGTCAGAAAATGTACTATACACTATTTTTTTGCGGTATGGCTGAAATTCTTTCAAAAAATGTTTGTTCCAAAGAGTAAGCGGTACGAAATCTGAAAGTCTGACTAAGAACATTGCCGCAATACGAGAGATAGCAAAGAAACATGAAGAAAATAAGAAAAAAGCTCGCGCAAGCGGTTGGCTGAGGCGGCGTCTGCCGCGCTCTGCCGCGGTCAGCCTGCTCCAGTTCGAATTCAAATTCGACCACCGACCGATTAGTGGGGTGAGGACGACTATAAGCACTCTTTGAAATTAGTACACTCAATATCATGCTAGTCATGCACTCCCAAGTTGGATTTCAAAGCACTTTATGCATTAAAACCCCATTGTCTTCACATATTTAACCACTCATAACTTCTTCCAGAGAACGGTGTCGCAGATATAAAAGGCAGATTTGGAATCACCTCATCAAGACGCATCTAATGATATGCGGTTCATTCCAGGTCGCCAACTTAAGTTGGGATCGTTTCCTCGTGAGTTTGTTCAGAGAAAGAGAAATAGTGTACAAAAAAAGAGGGGCAGCTAAAAAGTCCTTCGGAGTACTTTTGTTGTGCTTTCAGCAGGCATGATGGGGGGGGGGGGTATCGCGGTGCATTGCTATCTACAAAATCTTGAAATCTTGTAGAACCTTGGTCCAGGAGGTTATTCGGTGCGCTGATCGAGAATATGGTACTCATTTTCAGGGTCAAGCGTGGGGTGCGGCACGCCACACCTGGGGGGTCGTATTGAGGAGTCAAAAGGGGAGGGGGTCGTAGTTGGGTAATCTGATAATAGTGATAACATGATATTTGTATCATATCCATAATTAGCTTGTCAATTAACCCCTGTAAACAAAGTGTGAGCGAATTCTGAAGATTCAAGATACTAGGCTACCTAAATGAAATGGTCAAATTCCAACATGGTTAACTTTGTTTCAAAGGTGAATTAGCTATCAGTTTTTGCACTCAAGACAAAGCACTACTCCTTCTTTGTCCACCTCAGGAATCCCGCTTCAGAAGACCTGCAAACTGTGGAATTAGAAGTCAACCAAAATCTCGTTTTTCCCATTTTTCGCTTTTGATCGCTGTGCTTTCACCAAATATTACTCAGAGCTAAGAAGACGAATCAGGCTCCAAACAGTCCTATGGAATCTACAAAATTAAGGCTATCGATTCATATAGATACTGTTCGTTAGAAATGTTTTTTTGATATAGTTAATGGGGTGCGGCACACCCCCTTAAAAGGTCGGCTGCCGCAGCTTTTATGGGGGTGTGCGGCACCCCCTTAACTTGCCTTCAAAATCCAGAAAGCGCTCCATTGCTGGTATGAGTATTGAGCACATAGCTTCTTCTTGCTACACTGGAAATTTGGAGCCGAACGCCCCACCCATAAGAAAATTATGGCCCTTTCAATATGCCCATTCAGATCGAAATCAGCCGTCAAATTACGTGTGATTGTAAAGTGCAGTCACAGAAAATCGGGCGTACAGCTCTCAGAAATCTGAAAATTCTCTAGAAAAAGCTGGTGTCCTCCAGAATGTCACACTTTGAGGTCCAAAGGTTAAGAGGAGGAAGAAGGGGTCGTTTGAGGGCTTTCATGGGAGGGGGGGGGGGTCGAAAGACTTGTGCCTGTCCTCTTTCTCAACTCTGGTAATGCTATCTTAGGTATATAGTTCAGAGGGGTCTTATTAAGACACAGTCAAGGGGGGGGGTCGTAACCAGCGATCGTGTGCCACACCCCTTGCTTGACCCTGCTCATTTCACTTCTTCACTTTTGGATCATAAGGCCGTGTTACGATGGGTCTAAAGTTTGAAGTCTAAGTTCAAGTTTAGTTTACTCAATGACGTTCATGAAGTAAGTGATAGACGCTGTTGGAGAAAACCATCAAAATCCTGTTGTCCCTGGAGAGCGAAAATTCAATAGCCATCTACGTATATACATACTGCGACAGAAATGGCGCATCACGATTACTGTGCAGACTACTGCGCCAGGACCACAAAACATATACACTCCCCATTTAAGGTTGTAGCTTGATAGAAGTTCCTACAGTGACGTGCTATGCTTATGGAGTTCCATAATTTTACGGTCATCGAATATTCGACTTTCGAATACTATTCGAAAGTTGAGATTTTCGAATATTTGAAAATCGAATATATTCGGAAACTGAAAGTTTCGAATATTCCACTTTTGAATTTTATACAAAGTTCAGATTTTTCGAATATATGACTTTTCGAATCACTCTTCGAATGATTTATTCGAATAGTTGAGTAATTATACGATTCGGTCCCAAGTATTGGGTTGTCCCGAAAGTTCGTTCGCACCATTTTCAAAAATTCATAACTCTCTAAATTCTCAACAAATTTGTACGATCGAAATTTTTCGTAAGAGAGGAACTCATGCTCTTTGCATGTGTACCTTTTTTGTTCGCTAATGTATACAAAGCTCCAAACCAAAATTACTCAAAATTTGAATTTTTCGTGTAGGGTCATAAAAAATCGGAAACTTGCAACAAAAATCGGAGCACTCGGTATTGTATTTCTAACAGTGCAAAGTTTGCGCTGATTAATCGTCTCTGTGAAAAGTTATGATTTCCCTGAAAAATGTCAAAATAAATGAAATTCGCCCTTTTCTATTGCTTGCTCGAAAATCGTAACTTTTCATGGAGACGGCCAATCAGCGCAAACTTTGCACTGTTAGAAAAAGCTGGTGAAAGAACCTACAATACCGACTGCTCCAATTTTTGTAGCAAGTTTCCGATTTTATGGCCCTACACGAAAAATTCAAATTTTGAATTTGGTTTTGAGCTTCTATCTGCTTTACTCGTACACATTAATGAACAATTCAGGTACGCATGCAAAGAGCATGAGTTCCTCTCTTACGCAAAATTTTGATTATACAAGTTCATTAAGAATTTAAAGAGTTATGAATTTTTGAAAATGGTGCGAACAAACTTTCGGGACATTACTAACACAACAAGAATAGGGAATTGGCCAACATCAGTCGCTGCTTCAACGACCGTCTTGTGAAAAGATATGTTTTGATGATGAATATCTGTACTTTTGCTTCATCTGCTTTTGTTTTTTGTTGTTGGTTCGTCATTTATTATAGTTTTGATACTCTCAATAAAACAATTGTAATAATATCAGTTCTGATAACCAATTCCATCGGAATCATTTTTCATGGCGACGGTTTCAGTTCTATTGCTCAACACACTCTCCGTCTTACTAAAACATTCGAGATGTAGACTTACTAATTTCAAGGAAACGCATGCTATTTAAATAATCCCCAAAGATGCTTGGAAGCTGTATCATGAAGGAAAAACTTTGACTACCGCTAAATTCGTAAATGGAGAAAATGCATGAATAGGGTTAGTAAGGCTATAAACTCTCCGTTTGTGCACTGTTTGTAAGTCAATCAACAGTGCAGAAACATCGAGAAGTCTTCGATCAAATCGGTGATACAGAACAACGAGGCAAAGTAAGGTCAAAGAAATTTATTTTTGGTAATATTTGCGTGTGACATGCAAGCATGTCAAACTGTACTAAGCTGCAAGGTTGACACAGACTCTAAGTAGACCCCTTATTTCGTGTGACGAATGCTCGGATGGTCAAAGAGCTCATGTTCAAATGTCCTGCGCGCAGTAGTCTCCATAAACAGTGCTGTTTTGAAAAAAATGAAAGATCACAAAAGCTTATCGTTTCATCATCAGTGTAGCAACGCTGCTAACAATAAGCTGTGCTGTGACGACACATATTTCAGCGTTCATCCATCCACTTTTTCAATGCAACAGCCTTACATAGATATATTTATGTCTTTACATACATGTATAACATAGAACAACGGGATAATAGGCAAAATATCACAGGAATGTCGTCACAAACATCGTATGGTTTCGGCACGCGGTTAGTCGTTTTTCGAGTATTCGATTCTCCTGCAAAAACATAGTTGAATTTTTTGAGTACGCCTGCGAGTTAAGGGATATTAGCAACTATTTTCACGGCCGACCAACCACCACAATTTTTATCGACCCTACCGTAATTTTTTCTCTATAGTCGTTCAGATTTTCTAAACTGGATAGATTCTAGTGAGGTATTTAGAAAATGAAGATAATTTCCTGACACACGTTGGGATGTCATGCGCCTGCGCCTTCACTGTTAATGGGCAAAATGTGAAAAGAAGAGACGCAGACGACGAGAGGGGCGAGAAGGCGCGTTATTTGCAGGGTACGCAGATGTCCGCAATGACTTCTAGTCCGTGCGCCAGAAAATCACCCACTTTTCCATTTTCAAATATTTGTGTGTGAGGGTAAGAATAAAACTCTAGTAGACTCACTTGTTTGAGCGTATCCACCAAAGTAGCCTGACTTATGCCACTATGTTTGGTGTCGTGACAGATCGCTCTAGAATTGCAATTCATTAACCAGATATAACAGTAAGAATTAATTCTAAAAATCGATCACCTAGCATCATCAACTTGTCCTATAATCGCTTTCGCTTCTTGTAGCTCTTTCTTTAGTCGACGTTGTTGTTCTCGAAGATTGTCAGCTTCGCGACCAAGTCCAAGCCTCTGAAAAGTTATACTCAAATTAGTAGCGATAAATGTGGGATTGAGTGATAATTGTACCTTGTCTACCACCTTCCTCTTGTCGAATCGCGCATCTTTGCGTAGATCTGAAAAATTTCGGGTTATCATCAGTAAAATTATAAGCAATCTTTCAGAAATGTTTGAATTTTTGTGAGGGCCACAGTATGAAATTAATTTTAAAAAATCGAAATTAAACATTAGTAGTAACACTCAAGTCTTTGTTAGTCAAATTTTAGGCAAGAATACATGAGCGAAGTGTTTGAAGTCGAGCAGAACTGAATATGAAACGAGAGGCTTCGAAAATTTTCCGTATAACAGATTTTTCGAAAATTTGAACATCAAAAGCAATTGTAACTCTGCGTTCTTATTGAAAAAGGTGTCAGAAATAAATGTGAAAAATGATGAGTTTGATCCGAGGCCTGGTAGAAGGCGCTACGCAAAATTCAATCATAATACAAGGCTCAATATGAAGGACAATTTTTGCTGATGATTGTCTGCTGGCCTCAAATATCTAGAGGATTAATAATACCAAATATAAGGAAATGTGCGAAAATGAAAGTTCAGGGAGTAGAGTGGTGATGCCAATGTTGGACCGATTTGAGATCAAAATGCAGTGCTGAAGCTACAAAAATCCACCGTACAAATCATCATCCTCTATGATTTTGCAGATTTTGATTTTTTTTCTAGAATGTAATTGGCCTTCGCAAATGTAACCTTTGATTCAACTGGCTTGGCACCATTAGGGCGGGGTTTTGTGATCTGATTGAGGCCGCTCGCGCCCGCGACGCACCTGCGTCTCTTTCGCGCGAGTGCTCTCTGATCATTGCCTAGCCTTAATTAGGTCACGAAGCCCCGCCTTTGCCGATGCCAAGCCAGTTGAATCAAATGGTACTTTGTGGTTAACTGCAAACATTTGAGATCAGAGAATTTCGGAGAAACCCACGTGGTTCTTACTGCGACCAGCACACAGTAAGGAATTTCAAACTTTCCTATTTTTCTCTAGCCATGAAAAAAAAACGAAATTGGGACCCGTCATGGGTAATAAGGGTACGTTTTCATTTTCAGAAAAGCGGAGTTTTAGTCATTATTAATAACAAGGAAATATACGATAATCTATAGGTGAATTTGAAATAATGACCAGTCTAAAAAAATTGGTGCGATACTTACAATAAGCCGCATGATAGTCTCCGGCTGCTGATTCGTACCCGGATGAAGCCGAGTAGCTCTGACGTTTCTTCTCCTTACACTGTGATGCATTATCATCAGAACCTCGTCCACTGCTTGGTGGTCCATCAACCAAACGTGGGTCAGTGACCTGAAATCGCTGAAGTATTCAGGGGAATTGAGCTTATTTCAGATTTCATAGATAATGCAGTCCGTTTATGTCCTTTCCCCATTTCTAAACTTCTGTGTAATTCGGGGCTTAATTTCAGCTCCGAAGGCCAACGCAATGGCCCGCCGAATGTGATTATGCTTGAACAGCATTCCGCCACAGTCGATTAGTTCGCTAGTGGAAATCGAATCAAATAGCGCAATTACCTGATGAATGCACTAGCGACAATGATTATCGATTGGAAATATTGATTTTACTACTGCTAGCTGTGGGACGATTTTCTTACAATTTTCTAGTATGTAATGCTCTACTGATTCGTATTTGCAAAATTGACTGTAATCTCTACCGTACCTTAGTGTATGGCGACGGTATGGACGTTTTTTCACGCCTATTCTCTTCTGACAACTTCCGTTCTCGTCGATCCGTGCGTGATTTGCTGCAATTGATATGTTTTTTTTTTCGATTTTGAAATAAAGAACTTTGACTAATGGTCACTTTAGCCTCACCTGCTCTTTCTAACATGCATTCCATCGATCCACTGAGCTTTCGGATGACCATTTTTAAGCTGATGTGATGGCGATGCAGTCGGTATGGCACTAGCCGTGCAGTTCGTTAGCGACGGGGTTCGCACCGGGGGAGAGACGAGTTTTTTGTGGATTGTCGGGGTTGTCGGTAACGAATCCGATGGCACTCGACTTTTTTGACTGAAACCGCATCATATGGGCATTATGAACAGTGGAAGAGGGGAAGGGAGAACAAGAAAATCCTACCTAGGTTTTGATCCAATCGATAGACCTTGCAGTTGTTGCGTGATCTGTCTCGCTATGACTGATGGCAGCGAACGACCATTGAGCTCCTATACGAAATATTATAGTCAAGAAGTGATCAATAAAATTCGATAATTACCTTATCAATTTGCTCTTTTTCTCTACGTATCTCATCGGCTTCAATTTTCAATTCTTCACGTCGTTTTCGTAATTCGTTTTTGCGTTTTTCAAGCTCTTCCTTCTCTTTTTCTGCCAACCTGCAAGCAATTCTATCATAACCAATGCAAAGAAAGTTGGACCGGGTTTTCAGCGATGTTTTATTTGTTACTCCAAAAATCACATATTTATGGTTTACCTCCGCTTCTCAATCGCGCTCCAATCCACTACCGTACTCCCGGAAGACATCATGGAATTCTGACAGCAGTTTAGCAACAGCTTTCCACGTTTCTTCTTCATTTTATCTTCGTCGATCTCCTGTAAAATTGCGAATTGACAAAATTTACATCTGTGGAAAGATTATAGATTTGTTTGAATATCTTTTAAAAGCTTATGAATGGTGTGCTTCGAAAGGCAAAGCAAATGAAGTATGAGGTGAGAGAATGTGCAAAGATTCATGGAGTGCTAGCAACTGCTAATCCAAAACCAAAAATTCTTCCAATATGATAAATGTCCTGGTGAGTGCAATCAAATATGAAAAAATCTTAGCTATCAATCAATGGATACCTTGAGCTTTTCGGAAGCATAGTGTTCAAGATGGCTTGCTCGTCGATACAGATCCATCTCACTAGGCGTTGTCGCTGTCGTTGCTGTCAAGGATGCTTCTTTCTGGAAGATGTAGAATAGAGTTAAGCGAATTGAAGAAATTTGGTGTCTCAGGAATTAAACGGAATAAAGTCCACACAAATGGTGGTCCACTTTCAAAATTTTCTCTTGAAATATCTGTGAAAAACCAGAATAACTTGAAGATAATAAAAGAGAGGTCTGATCAGTATCTCTCTAATCAAACCAAAGAAGATAGTGGTCTGATTTCAAATCCTTTCTCCAAAACGGTCTTAGAAAGTTGCATTGACCACAGAATGTAGCATTTGCGCCTTTTCAAAAAATGAGCCAATTCTGGCAAACTAAATTGTCTGCGTATCTTCATTTTATATGCTCTTTTCATAAGGAGTTTGCAAACCATTTGAGGTGGACCAATCAGCGTCCTTAAGTACAATTTGCTGATTAATCGAAAGAGTACGGTCTGGACGAAAATTCAAAAGGATCTTATAATTTGCCGCTCAAGCAGTGGCTCATGGCTATGGCCTTTCAATTAATAGTATTCACCAGGGCGATCCGTGAAACCTCGTCTCTGATTTGAATTTTCAGAAATAAAAATTCTTTTATTATCTGCAAGAAAGCAATAATCCATGAAGGCTATATGAAAAAATTTTGCGACTCATATTCGGGAGAGGAGAGGGGGGAGAGACATTTTGTCTCTGTGCCTCCCCCTTCTCTGTTCCAGTCCATCTACAGTAGTCTTCTACATGTATGAACCATCATATCTCGTAAAAGCGTAAAAAGGAAATTTAAACAATTTTAGAAATTTAATTTTCTCATCGGAGTTTACATTTACGACTTCGATGGTCCCTTGCTAGATTTTCCAAGTTTCTTGAAACAGAAAACCTCTCCTATCTCCCTTCCACTCTAGCACCTTGGGATAGAAAATATAGAAAAGGTCAAATCCCCCTAAAATTCCCAATGCCCAGATATGTTGTCGCATTGCGTATTCAGGCGATCATGTTGCGATTGTTTGAAGAATGTTTATGCAACCCGATGAGTTGTATACGCAGCCGGGTGCGGGGTGCGCGTCAATGGAATACCGAAAGAGCACACATGCCTCATTAGTGACAGGCAGAGATGGAAAGGTAGAGGAGGAAGTAGGAAATCTGAGCGAAAATGGTACTTTTGGAGAAGGATCATTGAAATTTTTGGCGAGAACTGGTCCCCAAAGGATAAATACGGTATTACTTGCGTTTCGGTACATTTATATGGAGGCTTTAGTGCAAAATGGTGTAAAAAAGTTCCGTTTATTTTGACAAGAAAAACCATCGGGGACTAGTTCTCGTGAGTTTAAAATGTCGACCATTGCGATATGTATTTAGCTACTAAACTATGTAAGGCTTTCATCGCACGCAAAGATATCATGCGCCGTTGCGTCCTGCTAAGAGAGTACGTGCTTAGGAGAGATCGCAGACTGTTGTAGGGATGAAACGCGCTTGTTGAAATGCCGCAGCGCCCGCAAATGCATCCTGTCTCTGCGTGCGACGAATCGCCTACTTTCTTTTTTTTTCATCACGTTTCTCTGTATAAACCTAGACTTCGAAAACAATTTTCCAGAAATTTCTAGAATCCAACTCACCGCAGCGATATCTTCATTGAGCTTCACCATAATATCATGCGATCGAATTGATGATACCGAAGCGGCCATGGCCCGTTCCAGAGCGTCTTCGTCAGAGCCGGCGTCCTGAAGAAAAGCGAATGCACTAGATTTCCTACCCGATGAAGCCCAGGAAAGCAAAAAATATGAAGAATTATCTCACATGTGTCGTCGCATCCGTGCTTATGATTTTCTCAATGTCCTCTCTACTCAGAATGCTCAACGGATGCGAGTCGGTGCCGCATTTCGATCTGAAAACAACAAATTTTGGACTAAAGTGTTAAATTTTTGCGCTAAATTTTCAGTTTTCAGGATTTCGCTCACCTGACCGACTCCCTCATTGACTCCTCGTCCTGCTCGATTATGTCTTCAAGAGGGTAGGAGAGTATCTCCCTCGGACCCGCAACCTCATCCTCGTCCGGCGAAAGAAGTGGTTCGCAGGTGTCCACCCATTGCATAATCGCTTGTCGTTTATCGTCATCAAGGCTGCAGCTAAAAAATGAATCTTTTTCATCATGGAAGACTTCAGGAAAATAATCATCCACATCTTCCCTATTTTAGAGTAAAAAAAGCAGTTGCCGTATTCATCAACGAACCCAGTGGGTTCCGGTACCCAGTGGGTAAGCGAAAACAGTGCTACTGGGTTGGATCGATATTCACAAAAAACACTGCTGGGTTTGCGAACCCACCAGCTTCGTGAATACCAATCTTGTGGTTAAGCCTACCCATTGGGTCCCGGAACCACTGGATTCGTTGATGAATACGGCCACAGAACTCAAGAATTTCTCAAAAGTGATTGATCGATGGGGAATGAACTTTTGTTTATACGGGAGCGATAAAACTGAAACAAACATTGATTACCAATAGCCTGAGTAGAGTGGAAGAAGAGGGAAAGGGGAATTCTGAGGCATAGCTTCCTTTGTTATTGCGGAAAATGATAAGTAAAATTTTTCTACAGATTTTCTTCCAGTCAAATAATCGACTGGAACTTCCGCGAAACTTCCAAAGTTCACCGATATTTGTAGGGGATTTTCTGCCAAGGTTTCAAACAATCTCATTGCACGTCAACGCTCGTCGATTTATGCTGTTGGATTTTAAAGGGAAAGTACTCGTTTCAGACATTGTATACTACCGTATTGAAGAGTATTACGGTAAAAAACCCGTCGATCCCATATATCAGCTCAATTTTGGCGTTATTTTCTTCGCGAATACCGAATAAAATGAATAAGAGATCAAAGCATTCTCAAAGAATAAGGAAACATCACAAAAGATTAGCATAAATCAATTCAACATTCTAAAAAATGCGCTTGGGAAGAGTCCATTAATTTTTGAGCTCTACCAAAATCTGTGGCCACAAAATCAATTATTCCCAATCGAATGCTAAATGACTTACAAACGGCGTTGGATAGCTATTCGAACGTTCCTGAGCATGATGGATTAAGCTTTGCTTGAGGCAGCGAACAGGTGACTGAGCGCGATGCGATCAACTGCTATAAATTGGCACCGCGACATTCGGCTGCTCAAAAACACGAACGCAGATGTAGCGCTTTATGGCCAGCCGCCATTCCATTGTGTGACAGTTGTCCCGTCACGGAAGGTAAAACGGATGGGTAAGAGGGACTCAAGAAGCTTTCGCGTAATGTCCTCTTTGAGAGGGAATTTGGAAATTAGCATTTGTGGTTGCTTCCCATACATACATAAACTGCGAGAACTGGTCTCCTGTAATAGACTGAACAGATGCATTGTACAGATAATGTCTGGTTTCTTGATATACCACTGCCCAAGCGAAAGCTCATTAGATTCATTTATGGGCGAGAAATTCAATACAAAACTCTCGCCCAAACCGTAATCTTCCTGAGCGGACAAATCAGCGCTCCCGACAGCAGTGGATGGAGAGTGTTATAAGGATGACAGCATGTCAAAAGCTCCACTTCCTATCCGTTGCCCATCATATGATAGCTTTGCTAGTTTAAATGGTGCGAGAACTGGTCCCCAAACTTATTTTCTTTGTGCTCGCGCCCCAAAATGATCAATCTTTGCAACTTCTCAAAAATCTCATTAGATCGTGGCGATTTTTCAAAAGCACATGTCTTTTTACTCAATTTAGATTACAGTACTGAAGCAGCGAGAAGTGGTCTCTGATGCCAAACGACAGTCAAAAGACTTTTTCTCAAATGATAAGTCGAAATTTTTGTTTCCTATTTTCATCGAGTAACTCCATTTTCTATTTCTCTCATTAATCCAAACAAAGACTTCTGATTAACCAAATTCATATCAAAATAAGCCTCAAATTCTCATGCAGGTCCCATGCCTAGCTTGAGTAAGAACCTTATTCTTTTTTATTCGATATTTCTTTCTTTCTTATTTTTTTCCTCTCTGTCATGTCCCCTTTTCTAAAAAGTGATGCCTACCTTTTCGATCGCTTTGGGCTGTTCGCAATAATGACGCCGAAATCATTTCGATGCTAAAGAAGAGTCGATTAGCTACCAAATTATTAAAATAAAGCTCCAATAATCTACCTGTGTACAATGGCCACCGAATACGGTCAAGTCATGATTGAGTGTGGATCCATCTGCGGATGTTCCAGGTGGTGAACAGAGATCATCGTAGAGTTTCAGTGAAGGCGATAGGAATGGCGTATGTCCCTAAAAGGCCAGAACTTCGCTTGGAACTCGACCTCAGGGGCATTTCCATTTTCTTACCTTTAGGATAGGTGGAATTGAACCCGTACATGTGCGACCGGAACTACCCGAAGTTTGAGTGAGCTGCAAATATTGACTTATTAACTCATAACAATGATCTTTTGCCCAAAATGGGTAACTGAACCATGTCACGACGTATATGCCCCTGTTCACTGTTACTTCTCAAACTCACAAAAAAGAAAATCTCGGAACAGCGCTAGAACGTCGAGGTCGTTGTTCTATTGAGGCGCGGCCAAGAATTTTTTTTGTGCAAAAGAATTATTGCGGCAACATTCTTGCGTCAGATGCGCGCATGCTCTGACCTTGGATGCATGAAATATTAGACTCGGGTGGGATGAATTACCCGTTTATTGCCAAAAACCATGCAAATTTTTTCTAGAAAAGTCTCTCATATCGCGCATAAGCGAGTTCAATAACAGTGGAATTTGGATACGTCAGAACAGGTCGCAAAAAATTTGAGTTACAAAATGACATTGTCGAGACAAACATGTCAGAGAATTCTTCTTTTCTCCAAACAGCTGATACATTTTTTCTCAAATCAAAAAATGACATGCTGTAAAGTGTGTAAACTTCAGAAGTAGAAAGCAGAAATTCAAACATGCATAGCTACACTTTTCAGTAAGAGATGATAGGAATGGAACAAACTAGAACTGTACAGGATATAGGGCACAGTTTCTGAGCACATAATGAAGTTCATTTTGCAAAAATGCTAATTTGGTCGGACAGATGTCAGTCCGATTGAAGACATGAACTGAAACATGTGCCTGCTTCTAGCTACAATCACCCTTATTCGTCGAAGCCTTTTGTGTAATTACACCAACCTTCAAAGCTTTGTAAGGAGCCTAAGGCGAACCTTGACAATAGTAAAGGGAAAAATGACATTTATTACTTTGCAAAAATGCGACTTTGAGTTAAAAAAGTATAGTTTTCCTCAAGGAATTGAAAGAATGCAAATTGCACAAAATGGAAAATATGGTTAACGTGAAACCACTGAAGGTAGCCGTTTTTGGCCTTGCATGAAAAATGGACTTTTTGCGTGGATGCATATGTAAACGGAGTAGCTACTGGACAACTGCCCAAATTCCAGCTCATATGATCCATTCGCACCAAGATATGCGATTCTAGACCCTCGCCCAGACCGAAGTTCTTACGGTAATCGAGGGTGCTGATTAGTCCGTTTGGAAGCGATCTAAGTGAGGGCTCAGGGCGAAAATTCTAGCTACAAACAGATAAAACAAGTTATCTCTTGGGCAAGGGTTATGATGCTTCTCTGTCATATCATATAACCTTTGATTCAACTGGCTTGGCGCTGGAAGGCGGGGCGTTGTGGCCCGATTAAGACCGCTCGCGTCCGCAACGCAGTCTGCGTCTCTCTCGCGCAGGTGCTCTCTAATCATTATCTAGCCTTAACTAGGCTACGAAGCCCCGCCTTTCAGCCCCCATGCCAGTTGAATCAAAAGGTACTTTAGGAACTCCATGTACCCGAATTACCCGGACGCCTAGTTCAACCGCATACAAAGTTTAGTTGAGTACAAGCATAGTACCGTACCTTTGAGCTAATCGAGGGGCTACTTGGTGGATAGATCGACTTCGAACGGTGCAGGCCATGTGGTGACGGACCCATGAAGATTACAGTCTCGGCGCCGCTCACTTCAGAGCCACTTTCGATTTCGCTTCGGGGCACACCGGACGAATGTGAGCTGGCCGTGTCAGAAAGAAGCTGAAAAAACAGAACGATTCTCAAATCGCGCTAAAAATCAGCACAAAAGATTGAGTATTGAGGTAAAACCTAATTTTTACATAGGCAATGCCTAATCCCTGACTGTCGTTTTGAACGTCTTTCTGCGCAATTCTGTCAATCGCGCGCCCACCGCGTAACTCACAAAACGTCGAATTTATCGCTATTTTTCGGTGATTGATGATGATGCGAACAGCCAACGCTACTCTCTTCTAAGTTCAAATCGCGGAATCCGAGAACGCGAGCGCGATTGAGGCGCGATATATGACACCTGGCAAGAGTTTATTTTCATTTTAGCTGTAAATGCGGCAAAATTTTGAAAATTATCTTGGGCAGCTGCGAGCAAAAAACTAGCATTTCATGAAAAATGTGAAAATTTAGAAATTTTGATGACAGTCTTACAACACTCCAACACAACTCCTTTTTTGCTGCCAAAAAAATCTTGAAATGGAAAAGTTCGGGATTCTAGTGAGGGACCGAAGGGAGGATTGTAAGTCACTTGCACCTGTTATATAACTCTATTTGTAAATAATTCAGTCCAAATTTTTATCTTTCCCTAAAAAGCGAATCAGATTTGTGGAAGGATATTTTTTGTATGGCGGCCGCCACGCCTCTTTTCCATTAATTTAGGGTTGTAAGCCAGCCAAAAGTTAGGAAACATATCAATTTTTTTAGAAGACGTAACCAACGCCACGCCCTCTCCTTCCTAAAAAAATCCTTCGCCCTCTTTCCCTTCACCCACCGAAAAAAATTTCTCAGATTGCCAATGCATATTATAATTGTTTTCCTTCCTTGACCGAGAAAATAAACAAAAAGAATAATGAAAAAAGATCGTTTCTTAAAGGGTACTATATATTTTGTATATCATAGTCAAATTGGACAAAGGGCATAAAAGAATACAATAACAATAAAACAATAATAATAAGTGTTCATACTGTTGAGAAAAGACTTTTTCAAAAGTGAAATGCAATTAAATAATCGACAGTAAAAATAACAAAAGATTCTATTGCGATAAAATCTTGTCTCATATTTCAGATTCTCAGGTGCAGATTGTAGAAATTTCTGTTGTCGTAAAAGGGGAGAGCACGATTTCCAGGAACTTATTTTCAACGAAATTCACAGATATTCATGCTTCTAAAATACAACAAATGTTGCAGGGTACAAATTTGGGCTAGTAATGACATTTTAAAATGTTCGGACGTAATTCTTTGTTTCATAAAATACACACACATAACAAAAGGTTGAAGATTTGAAAGAAAGTTCCAAAAGTACGCGGCTAAGCCTCGAGAACTACCAGGATCCATATGTTTTGATTCAGGAACAGTGTACACCAAGCCCATATCAAAAAATCTGAGTGCCCTTAGAGAAAAACCAATGACTTAGTGGCACCTCCCACAGCCTGGTTTTATAATGATGACGTTAAATCATCGGCGAGCAATTAGTTCTGCGCGGTTTTTCAAAAATAACGAGCAGAATTGATAGCCATTGTGCAAAATATGATAACAATCTCAAGCACATGTGGGCAGATCTAGTGCATGACGAAGGGAGAAAGTGTTGCGCCAAAAATTCTGGAAAATTCGTTGAAAATTTTAGAAGACGTCATAAATTACGCATTTCTGAAAGGAAACTAAAAACCGAAAAAAAACTTTGAAAAATATAAATATTCGCTATGACATTCCAGCAGATTTTTCAACTAGAGTGAGTCATACAACCAAAAGCAGGACTAAAATTAATTTAGCTGCAACTTCAAGCAATTTTTTGCCATCATATTTCGAGAATTTCATAATTTGAGCGTTCTTCTGATTGGTCTGTAATTCCGTAACCTGAGAATTTTTTCTTTATTCATTACTAGAATTACATGATTTTTTTGTAGAACAACTGTCATACAAAACCCGCTGAGAGTGGGAAGACTATTTTTTGTTTCACATTTGGTGCCACAGTTTCGTTAACCTAATAGATAAAAATAAGTATCATAAAATCCTGTTGAATTTTGTAAAGATTGAGCAAAAATTCTGATGTGCAAATTTGGATGCGTTCTACATAAAAAAATTAAGACAGATAATTTTACAAAATTTTGATCAAAAAGGTGGCAAGAAATGTCGTTTAACTAGTATGACATCTATTGGTTAATGTAAGCAGATTTCCTTATGAAAAAATCAGACAAAAAGAAACGCAAAAGCTGAAAAGCATTTTTCGAGCGCAGAAAGAGGAAAGACATCATGCAAACGTTGTAGTAATCCATGATATTTGTCAGGCTTTCAGAAGAAATTGCAGTATGAAAACCCGGAAAAGTCGTTTCCAAGATGGTAACTACTTCGCTGTGCAAAGTGGGATATTTTTTGAGGTTCATATATTTCAGACAAAAGAAAACAATCTTCTTCTACTTGTTGAATAACTTGTGAGTAAATAGCTTCAAGGAAAAGAATGATAGCAAGCGATGTGCAATTCACGAAATTACAGAAAAAACTTGGTTACTTTACGATATGGTTGATACCGCTAGCTTATTCGAGAAAAAAACTATTATCATAATCTCGAGCCAAATTTTTCATTTCCCTCAAACGGAGAACTTTTCATGAAGGCAGAGAATTAGGCTTTCCCAGCTCCAGAAATGCTTCGGAGTGAGTGTCCAAAACCATTTTTGGATGATCATGAAACCTATTTGAACAAACCTAACACACATTCGAAGTTTATTGTTACGAGGAGAGGGAAAATTTTTTTCAGCCCCCCCCCCCCACAACCGTACAATATTTTGGACAAACAGCGTTTATCACAGCACTGCTATTCATCCTTTTTTTCTATTTGCTTATGCATGGATACAAATCGCATGCAGCAATAACAACTTGCAATCAGCCATCAATAATCCGTTCATAATTGAGCCTTTTACCCCCCCCCCCGGCCCTTGCCATATTGTATCGCTAGCCTATTCTGCCACTACACGCTCGAATCGTGGCCAATTTACTTTGATACTTCGACGGGCTGGCGACACAAAAGGCGAGTTTCAAGTCGCTCCGTCATCAAATCGTGGTCGTAGTTAGTGAAAGCCCCAGCTCTGCTCTGCTCTATCCCAATTAGGCCAAACATGGCAGCGTTTGCTCAAGGCGAACAAACGACCCAAGCATTCAGAGGCTTTTTCCTGGCTGAATAGCGATGCCGTTGGCTGAATGCCAAACAGCGCCACGAGAGCCTAACCAAGTGCTGCTCAAAGCGCTCTGGAGTACAACCACTTCTTTGAAGGGCCTTTGTAGAAGTTAGGCTCCAGGGACAAAGATCAAATGCCCCAAGGGCAAAGTGTGCAAATCTTGAGAAGGTCTGCAAAATTTGGACTCACCTTGTTTTTTCTGGTGTTTCGCTTGGCGCGTGCCAATTTGCTGGCGAGTTGCACGACATTTTCATTGTCATCGGTTTTCTCAGCAAATGAGCAGACGAAAGTGGTGAGCCTGGACGGGCACAAGGCACACTTGAGCAGTTGGGAAAGGCAGTTTTCTCTGAAATAAAAAAATCCCACCAAAATTTGAAGATTACAAATCTTGTCTTTTTTGCTCCCCAAATTTTTCTGCCCTAGCGTTTTCCCCTTTCTGACTCATGCACTCACGCTATGCTACACCAAAAGAAATCCTCAAGGTAATTCATCTGACGCGTGACGCTCCTGCGGCGAAAAGTGCTCGCCGACATATCCCCTGGGTGTGTTTTCTCAAAAGTATTCTATTGGCGGCACCGCATGCCGATGTCTCCGGGCGGCTCCCGCGGGGATGTGGGACCAGGGCGTGAAGTTGAGGCAATGGGTTATAGCTGCCGACATCTATAGCCGGAAACAATGTAATGTCATCCTTGGTCGAATAAAGGGCTATAGCAACAAAGGTCTTACAGTTCCCTTTACATGCTACCATAATCAGAAATTATGGAAAAAATCCACTTTGCACGCAAAACCTGCCCAGACATTTGATGAGAGGCGTGAATAATAGATGCAACATAGTATAGTGTTTTCGCGATAATGACAACACCTGCGCGGAAAAAACGGCTACAGAGCGTGCAATGCAAAAAATTCGACCCCGCGGCCATTCCTTATGCGCCAAAAGGTTGAACGAGTTTTTTTTATTTTCAATTTTTCTCGTCTGAAGAAAAACTTTCCCATGATAAATAATAATAAGAATCCTATAATCATGTATCGTATTTTCAGGACCGATTAAATTTTTGCACGGATTTTTTAGATATATGACACTGTATGACCCGTTCACTGTTTTTTCTTACTTGTTTCTTTGGAACATCTGTTGCAGAATATAAAATAAGTGAATAAATAGTCGGTATTCTTGATATACAGAAAATAATCAAAATTTCCAACTTAAAAATTCAAATTAATCTGCGAAAATTGCAATCAAAAAATAGAAGCTGGTTCGCGTATACGAAAATAAAAGGTAACTCGCAAATTTATCAATATAGAAGAAATCCACAAAATTTACAATCAAAAATAGAAGATATTTTGCGGACTTTTTAATCAAAGGTAAAAGAATTGACTATGAAAGATCAAAGAAGATATTGTCGTTAAACTAAACTAAAATTAAAACAAACTAGTTTTTTCTATGTCCAAATCCCTCCTCCCCTGGCTCAATCGCTATTTTCACGTGCATTTTTTGCGTTCGGTCGAGTAGCCCCGGATGGGGGCGAATGGGCTGTTGGCGGCGAAGCGATAGCTGGCGGCAAGAAAAAAGCGTTTAAGGATTACATGGAATGAGTTGAGGATTCACGGAAGTTGACAACGACGCGGGCGGTCGCGAAGATTGAGCGAATTTTAACGAAATAGTCGGTGAACGTTGAGCAGCGAGATATACGAACAGAATAGATTTCAAATGATTGTAAATTAACCTGGCAGGTAGATGCTTTTGTCCTTGGACCAGGGCCAATAAAATACTTCCTATGGCAGGCATGGTGAGTTCGCCTCGATGCGAGTTTCGTTCACCGAGACCAAGATCTACGATCGCTAATCGACGGCGGCCTCCTAGAAAAGAAAGAAAATTTCCAGGAAAGCTTTCCAATATAAAGCTGACACAGACAGAATAGAAAAGCTGCTCGAAATTTCTTCAAAATAACAGCAGATTTTATGTGTTTCGAAGTATTGAAAAATAGAAACCCGCCATTTTTTATTGAGAATGCTAATGCATGTAAGTACATTAATGGTCAGATAATCAAGGTAGCAAAAAATCCTAAAAGGAAAGTGAAACAAAGTTACAACTAAGTGCAATGTTGCCTATGAGATGACTAAGTCGAGCATTTATTTACTTATTTATTGCAAATTTTGAGAAAAATTGCGTGAAAACAAAAGCTCAGGCCTTTGTAAGGAGTTTCGATTTTTTAGGAATTAAGATTATTTTATGCTTCGGGCAAGAAAGGCAATGGAGGAAAATCCATCTGTTGAGATGACCATTACTGAAAGATTGAAAAGGAGGAGAACTTTAGTAAATAGCATGAAACTTCATGAGACTCAGGAGTTAGGAAGAGTAAGATGAAAATTTAAAAAAAGATAAATCTAACAAAAAAAATTAGATGGAAGAGTAGTGCTTACCTTCAAGTTCGTTCGTTCCTGTTCTATAGGCATAGACAGACAGAAATACAAAAATATGACTTGTTCGAAACGTTTCCTCGTCTTCTGCAAAGTTTAATGTTTTGGTCAAGAGTAGATCAAATAGGTCACTTACCTACGACCCGATGATCAGCTACCGTATTCAGGTAAAAAAGTGCGAGGTCAGGTGAATCTACACGGATCTCGGATTCGTTCTCTAGCAGCGCACCAGCTCGAGGATCATCAACTATTTTCACTGCTTTTCGTCGTGGGTCTGCAAATTTCGCGGATTATCCAAGGCGGAAAACTTGAGGAAAAAGATAGTTTTACCGCTATTAAAGGGAGATAGTAGATCGGTAAGCTGATTCTCACGTTGTGAGTATTGTACAGCTGACATTCGGATTTGATACCGTGTATCTGGTTTGCTTACCCTAAATCAAACAATAAAATTGATTTCCAGGATTAATGAGCTTGTGGATTACGGTACCTGTACTCATCGGTGATCTTGAAAATCGATGTGATCGCAGTTTGAAAAATTCCAGCACTTGAAGGGGGTGCGCCATAGAGCAGGCATTCCTTTCCTGTAAACGATACAATTTTTACTACAAAGGGGTTTTGAGTCCGATTCCCCGTCTGAATCCGCTACACTCATACTGCGGGATTCTATCCACGACAGAAAACAATTTTTTGGTTTTTTTCCTGCCAGTTGTGGTGACCAGAACTCATAATCAGGCAGTAAATTTTTCCAATATTCACAATTTAGAAAAAACTAAAATTATTCAAGAATACATTTAACTTAACAAAGTACGAGTAGAAGTCGTTGAAACCATTTAGCCTCACTTTATTTCTAATTCCCCCCCCCCCCTCCCCGTCCTCCCTCTTCCCCTATTTCTCACCGTTCGGAATGCGCAAACAATAAGGAACTCATCGCGGCATCAAATTTCTTCACGATTTACGCTTTTACGATGGTCTCATTTAAATTTTGCATAAGAAGTACAGACAGCTGTGACCAGAAAATGTTAGAGTCCCCCCCCCCCCTCCAGACTAAATTTTAAAAAGCCTGAAAAAAAATGTTTAGTCGACTACGATTGCTGCATGAATCATCTTTTGGCATTCAGACTGTTAGATACTTGATCATTTAGATAGATTCTTTCAGCAGAGTTTGGTAACCTACAATATGATGTCCTCAAATATTGAAAAATGAAAAAAATTCGCTCGGCAAACGCTGGAGTTTTTTTTTGACCTCACAACTTAGATATGCCTAAACTACTTCGCGCTACTGTATCCTGATCCAATCCTATGTTTGCAAGCTCCATGACTCAAGTACCACTCGGCTAGGATTTGTGGGTCATACAGTCATGCTTGTCGGTCAGCAATTCAGAGGGGCCCCGCCGGGCGAAGGGTTTCAATTTCAAAGAGTCGTCGGTCTGAAGTGCGCCACGATGCAACCCAATCATCGGCACTTCAGCGCCCTCCGCGAACACTATTACGCAACGATGATGAACGCTTCGGCACATTTTGGCGCGTCATTTTGGTCCAATTTGGCCCATAAGTCACTCTTATGGAAAACTAGTCAAAAATCACAATCTCCAAAAATTTCGCCCTCAACTGACCTCTGGACTTTCCGCCCAAAGCGATGAAAGTGCAATCTTGCCCGTTGAACACACCCTGTACAAGCTCTGGCAACGTATTCGAGCAGATTCGTTCCTAAAAAATCAAATTTCATATCCTCACACCACTGTCAACTCTAGGCTCCGCCCCCACCTGTGTGGCATCTGGCCCAAACACGTTTTCGAAAGCATTTTTCGAGTGCGATTTGGTGGCACCAGCAATGTGAACTTGGTTCGCCACAGGTACGGTAATGCCGCCGGAAGTGACGTCATCACGCGATACAAGGGCACATATTCGCAACTGTAATGCAGAAAAAAATCGATAAAATCAATAAAGGGAAATATTTAAAAAAGTTAGCTCTGTTGTAGAGAAGAAGGATTAGTGAAAGTCAAGGGTTTTAAAATTAAATAGATAGATAAAAAGAATATCTCTTATATGACTCAAAGCAAAGATTGAACCCTACGGTACCAAACCAGATTCCATCAATTCCTTTCTCATTCTTCTGCTGACGCTAAATGTCAACGATGATGATGTATCAGTGACGAATCGCCGTGCAACTGGTCACGCTACGATTATGATCTGTCCTCTGGCTATTTAGCTGCTCCTACTGCCTACAGTATGACCGCCAGTGACACTCAAGCGCAGCGTGAAGGTGCTATACGATCCTATCGTAAATTTATGGGTTAACGCTTCCGGCACAACGTAGCCATAGGGGTAAAACTTGGGAATGTGTGACATCTGGGTAAGAAAAGGTTGCAATGTAAAACCATTGATAAAAATTGCAAAAAAAAACAACATACGACTGTTGAATGCAAAGTTGTTCCTGATTATTGCAGTGAAATTTTGAAACCGTAATTTTCTGAATCTTATAAGTTTTGTTTGATTTATTAAATCTTTCTTAACAGAAAAAATCATGCACCTTTGATATACATCGAAGAAACATCCATATTGGCAGAGACAGCTAATAGATTTGAACAATCAATCATATTGTTCAATTTTTAAGGCTAAAAATGAAATCTAAAAATGCCAACAAATCAAATTTTAATTTTACAGTTTGTTTTTTCAATGGGGAGGAATCCGTGATGATCGAAGCATAATTAGGATTTTCGAGTTTTTTTAGTCGATATTCAAATTTTTTCACCGATAAAATCTCATATGCAAAAAAAAACCATATCTTACAGGAAATGTACTACGTATTTTCCCTTTCTAAACACTTGAAACAATCTTCAACAACAATCAAACAACAACAATCAAACACTTTCTTTATCTTTAGTGAAAACTCATGGAACTATTATTAGCATGTACATAAACGGAAGGTAATGCACGAGAACGAGTAAGGGAAGGGAGTGAGAAGGGAAGAAATAGTCATGAAGTTCACTAAGTATGGAAAAACATAGCAAAGCTAATCTCTAAGTTCAAAAAAAAAAACTCGAAATTGCCACAAATCCCTCATTAACTCTACCACAAGATTTATTACTCTACCTTCTCTCAGCTGCCCTTACAGCCCCACTTCCTCATTATTCATCCCCCTGTCCGTATTCTTTTTGGGATAATTGCATCCCAAGGATATCATAAATTCCGTAGCAGAATCACTTTCGAATACGTCAGTCATAACCAGTCGCTGAATGTGTCCAGCCGGGGTCAGACCGCAGCGGGGTACCTGCTCGGATTCCATTCGGTTGCTTGTAATTGCCATAAACAAACGTATAGGCAAGCGTGATTTGATTAGTCGGGACCATTCGAGGACAGCGGTTGAGTTCAAATGAAGGAAAATTCAATAGAACGAGGAAAATTGAGGATTTAGAGAAGTGAGCAGAAATTTTGAAAACAGTTGTACATTAAACACTAAAGTACAAGATGTAAAGGTTATCAAGACTCTGGAAGAATTCAAAAAATTTTAGCTATGAGGGTAGACTTAGGAAAACAATGACTCATAGCATTGGCGCGATTTATTGAGCTTGAATAAAAAAAAGATCTAAATATCATTATCAGTGTCAGGGTTTTGTGATGAGTTTGTCACCCGGTGGAAAACCAAAAGTCAAATGATGGAAATTTGAAGTGTAAGCTTCAAAATTCTTAAAAGTAATATAATTGAATCCGCAATGCAAGCATTGCAGAAGTTGCGTCTACGGCTGCGGCGCGGTTCTGACGCTTCTCAGTCGCTCGCTCAGACTAAACTGTGTGCGTGGTTATAACACAGTAGTAAGAACTTCAAATTTGGAATGCGAGGTACTTTCTGATTAAGAAAAGCTGAAAGTTGTGATCTCTTTGAGAATAGAATTAAGATTAAAAAGTGCCCCGCGCAATTTAGATTTATTTTCGTATATGTTCTCGTAATTTTTCCGCAAATATTAGGATTATAAAATTAATTCTAACACATAAAAATCAAAGAATACAATTGATTTATATGATATTTCGTGAAAGCTTCCATGGCCGACAAGTAAAGGTTAGTAAAAAATCAAAAATCTATGAACTACACTAAATAAAATTTTTTTGAACATTTTTTACCTTGCTGTTCGTTCGAATCGGTGACGCTGGCGGTGGTTTCAGCGCCGCTGCAGCCGTCGTTGTCGCAGTCGCGGCTGGTGCGGTAAGCACCCGCTCCATGCCGCCGTTTTTCTGATCTGAAAAAAGTCAGAAAATTTGCTTGCGAAATTTCTAAGAAGTGCGGAGATGCGATCTGCAAAGTCCCAAAAAAAAATCAAGAATTCATCTGGCATAGAAGTGCATAAGAAATGACGCGAGTATTGTCTTTGAGTTGACAGAAAATCACTAGCGCGCAGCAGCGCTTTGCAGAAGAGAACACAAGAGACTTTTAGCGGGCTCGTTCATCAAATTCAGAGGGTATTTCATTAGAAGACGATCGTCGGAAGAAGATAGCTGAAGCCGATGAGAGGTTGGAAAATTCAAAAAGTAAAATTTGAATCACTCGAGTGCGGTGGGAGGGAAAGGATTTGTTAGATACGTGGCTAAAATGCTAAATACAAAAAAATCTTACTATCTAATATACTTATACTTGCAGATACTAGTATATTCAAGATACTTTTACGTACGTATCAGTAATGGAGATTATGAGACTGACTAATAAGCAGACCTGAAACGGGAAAAAATTGGAACATTTAAAAAGGACTGACTGGTAGGCAAACTTGCGGGAACAAATCAAAATATCCAGACGAACCGGAAGAAGCAGACTTGAAACAGGAAAAAACTGGAATGTTCAGAAATTTTTCTTGATCAACATCAAAGAAAACGAGACAAGCTAATAAATCATTACAATGGCGCCAAGAGGGAAGACGGAAGAGGGGGTGGGGGCGGAACGAGAAAAACCGAGAAAAATTGGGTTCAGTAAGTTCACAGAAAATTACGGTAATTCATTGTGACATATAGGTGTCCAAATCAGGTGAGCTCAAGTTGCCCCAAACGGACCATCATATTCTCCCCCTCCCCCCTTCATGAGCTAAAGCTGGACTAATAGAACCCGATGTCATCGTACACATGTCACTAGTACACATATAACAATCCATTCCGTCGAACACACACAGAAATGTAGGCGGGGCCCCGCGGGGACCAGCCGACCCCGGAGAAGAGTAGATCCGACGGGGGCGTGGCCCCGAGCCGAGACGATGAGCTCTAATGCAATAGCCTCTACCCCAATCAACCTCACTCCGTAAAGCGGCCTGAAACTGCTGCAAAGAGAGTTTCAAGGCAGTTGGAATTTGGCTAAGTTGTAGTGCAGAGGGGGAGAGATTGTAGGGGCGAGAAGGGGGGGGGAGAGATTACTGTATAGCTAAACGGGTTTTTACAGCTTTGGGGTGAAAGATAACGAGTTATGTGATGATAAATCCATGATCTCCATATACGAGTAGCATCTAATCTTGTACGCCGAATTTTTTGAAAGTTTTGAGAACCTGACTTTCGGCTACAGTAACCCCTAAAAAACTGGCTTACGAAAACTACTAGTCATAACCGCTCATTCACTTTTCCATACTAAACTACTAAAAGTTCTAGTAGCAAGAAAGACAGCATTCTTCGGTTCAAAAAGGGTTCAAAAACGTGACTTCCTATTATAGTACCCCTACAGAACTGGTTTGCCATACAAGTTATAGCTACTCTTACTTTTGCATCGCAAATTACTAAAACTCCAACTGGTAATACAGCATTCGCTTAAACGGCTATGCCATTCAAAGAAAAACTGCATAGAAATCACATTAGAAGACTAATTTCCATAATCCACTGGCGCACAATGTATCCCCACTCGAAGGCGACACCCAGATTAGCTCGGATTAGGTTGGAGACAAGAGAAGACACTATTCTTCAGCTCCTCTTCTCAACGTTGCACTATTATTTGACAAGCTCTGCATTTACACTATCGACCCGAGAATGGAAATGAATTTCTTTTGAGTCAATGGAATAACGAAAATGATGCATCCCCTAGAAGTCCTGGCACCTGATATTTCTCAGAAATGTAGCGTGCTCCACTTAATATCATATCTTGATCTTTCTTCTCATTTTTCTCAGTTTTTAAGGTGTCCAATGACGCAACAATATCCGATTTCTACATTCTCGGTACAAAATTATACATATTATAAAAGAAAGCTATGCAAAGCATATGATAATGAGTTTGTGGACAACAAGATTGTATAGCTTAGTTTTCCTTTCTAGGCAAGGGTATCATTGGCCCTTCTCGAAATCTACAAATGAAAACTGTGGCTGACTGAGCTAACCCACTTTTGAGTTATCAAAAATAAGGGATAAGTGGTCTGCTTTCACCAAAACCTACTGTTAGGACTCTGAAGAAGGTGAGTTTGGCCGAAACGTCAGTCTGTATATTGTGGAATAAATATTTGTACCGACCTTGGACGCTGTTAAGAAATCAACGAGAAGAATTGAACAATGCCAAGATTTATGGATAGTCGAACATGGATTCCAAAAATACAGGTTCTACAAATTATCAAGTATAGCATTTCTAGAGGCTTATCGTTGAAAATCAATTTTATAATATTTTCCACAATTAATGTAGTTTTTTCTGTCCATATTATAGTTCCACCGCAACAGCGTTACTTCATCAAACAAGTCAAAGTTTGCAACGATTATGCAAAATCTGTAAAGGGATTTTCAACTCCTGCCACAATTTTTTCTTATTTTGATCAGTGATCATCGATCATAAACGTTTGAAAGCATTGAGTTTATTTTGAACCTCCCTATATCAGAGAAAAGCTTTCACACAAAAAGTTCTTTACAAAACTCTTTTGGCTTTGCAAAAGTTCATCTTTAGTATATAAAAAAGCGAAATCTGTCAGAAATTCAAAATCTAAGGAAGAAACAGCACCAGACCACTTGATTCTTTTGTAGATGTGGAAGAGCAATGTTGCAGATGGTGAAGTGGACGAGGAGAAAGATAATTTGCGCACTATAGATGAGGCCCTTGAATGAACTTTGTCTAGGACTATGAACGCCCTTTTCAGCCTTTCCAAACGATCAAATTTTTATCAAGATCCATTATGAGCAATTGTTTTACAAAAACAATACGAAACTAGAACAAACAAACTCAAGGCTAAGGCGAACGTTGCGAAATGTTTTTGTTCGACGAGAGCTGTAAATTTCAAGGTCATTTAGAGGAGTTTAAAAATAGATGACAGAAAGATAAATATCAGCAAATAAAGCGAAGAAGATCGAGTGTGAAACAGCCGAGAAATAAGTGAGACGTCAATTCACACTGGGACACTTGTCTTCGACTAAAAGAGCACTTTCTTCTGCAAACTTCACACTCAAATTTTGGAGGCTTGCGAGAGATTGAAAATATCCCAAATGGGTCAAAGGGTTTCCCGGAGCCCGGGGTGAGGGAGGCGGGGGTGGCGTTAAATAGCTGAATCGCAGCCAATGTCATATGATAACCGTAACAGATGGAACACCAATAAAACGCATAAATTGGCGTTAATTGTGAAGCCGATTTGCAAGGAGGGGGAGGGGAGGCGGGAAGTTGACGTGTAGATTCAAATAAAGATAACATTGTATAAATCAAATCATTCGAGCAATGAGCCGAGTACGAGTTTACCGCTCAGCTCCACCCTCTGGGTACTCCCAATGTGAACGCCAACTGGTTGGTTGAGAGCATATGGCTGTATGGTTGATGGTTATCTCTTCTAGAAAGCAAAAAAAAAGTAGCAGAAAGGTCTCGTTAGATTCGAAATGCCGATATCGCCATTGACATTGGGGTTACGAAAATTAATGACAGCGTTATCCGTGCCAGGATTCGCAAATTTATCGGATAGAGGCACATATGTTGCAAACTTTGGTACTTATATGATACAAAAATGGCAATAGCTGGGATTGGTATGCTCGGGAAGCCAGAGTTTACAGTATACATTATCCCTCTAGGACCCACTAGTGCTCTCCCGCGATTCTTGAAACCAAACTCTTTCTCTGAAGATTCTACTTGCATTTCACAAATTTTGCAAAGAGAATCACACCACCACTCGTCGATGTCACCTGTCAGGAGAGGGTAATCCGATACGCTTCAAAAAATTCTACTCGAGTCATTTTTACTCCTAGAGTGCAGCGTGTGTGCTGTCCTCAAAACCTATTTCGAGTGCTTTCCTGCTCTGAGTTCAAAAAAGTGTTAGCTCACAGTTTCCGATACTTAGCAGAAAGCTTTGCAAAAATTCGCGATGATTCTCAGAAATCAGAAAATCAGGGCAAAACAGTTGCGTACTGGTATACAATGGTATAACTTTTGTTATCTCAAATTTCAACTGATATTGATGAAAAAATAAACTGGACAAAAATTCCAATATAGGAAGAAAATGTTGTTGGCTGACAAATGAAACTTTTTTTGAAATTCTCAGATGTTGAGAAAGTGCCTAAAGAATGATTAGGGAAACTGTTTAGGCGTGTGAGGGGCGCTGCAGATTTGCAATGTTTTACAAAAAATAAAAAATAGCATAATTGAGATACGAACTTCAAAAATTCGTTTAATTTTTCGCAACAAAAACAGAAATAACGAACAATTTAATAAGATTTATATGAGGTTGTACACGATCGTCTTACCCTTTAATCTTATTCAGATAATCAGTGTTTCGAAATTCTCTGAATTCAAAAAGCAACAAAGGTAATGATTTGAACAAAATCAAAAAAAAATAATCAAAATCCGTAACGCAAATATGAAACCTTCAGTCAAATATGAGAATCGATTTCCAGACATTTCCACGATTGGAGTAAAGTTCTAACCTTGAATGTTCCAACAGCTTTGTGCCACAAGTCACTTCCAGATCTCAAAAATTCTATCAATCTGAAAAAAATATTAAAAAAATGACAGGATATTTTAAATAGCCAATGTAGTCCTCACTTCTCTGAAGATGCGACATTAGCCACCTATCAGTTGTCAAGGTTTTTGTAGGAAACAGAACCTTCCTCAAAGAAATGCGCAGTCATGGTAAAGCTAGTTAGAAATGGATTCCATTGGAATTTTTTCCATTTACTTCAGAATTTAAAAAAGTACTCACACCGTCTGCTTGTTCCATTGAAGCAATCTATGAGCAAAATAAATTTGTGAAAAATTAGCATTGCTGGCACAAGTGCAGAGTTGTAAATCTGCATGCAAAAAACCAAGCTACGGTTCATGATGCT